GTGAGATCATGACCTGAGCCAAAATCAAGAGTTGGGCGCTCAACTGCCTGAGACCCCCAGGCGCCCCTCAGTCGCAGTCTTCAGTGCAGATGTAGCAGGCATCTTTTTCCCGCAAACAGTCCTTACTCTTTGGTTCAGCCAAAGACAGCAAAAGTGGAATATTTTCCAGAATGAGATGAGATTTTTAAATTTAAGATGCCACCACCTGCTCTTTCCTCATGCGGGAGGTAAGAAGTGAGTAAGCCTCAAGGCCACGTCCAAATTCTCAGGCCTCATCCTGTACCCAAACATACTAATGATACTTCTGTTGTGGTTCTGAGTAGGGTGCCCTATGATGGAGTTTTCCTCTTTGTAGCAAAGCGGCTGAAAAGGGTGTGCGTGTTGTGACTCAGACACCTACATTACTGGCGGGTCGGATGGTATTCGAATTCAAAGTCGGCCTAGTATCATAAGCTGGGACCGTCTAAGAAACCGAACACTCTAACTTGGGTGTAGGCATCATTCTGAGCCCAACAAAAATAAATAACAGACAGCATATTCTCACTGCTGTGGCTCGAGTGACTTTTTGAAGACAAACCTGCAGTAAATGGAGAGTGCGGAGCATCCATGGTCTTGGGGGTCAGCGCTGAGCACCCCATTCCTACTCAGGCAGAGCCCCTCCCCTGGCTAGGCTCGGTGGGGAACTCAGTCCATCTGATCCCACACCCCGCCCCCAGGACCCCATCGTGAGTCCAGCAAATGGAGACCAAGTCATTTAACCTGTGTACGCTAATGTTAGTGCTCTAAAACAGTAATATTCTAGAACACACAGCAAACTACTTTAAGTGCATCTTTAAACATGCCCATTCATTATCTGTTCACTCACAGAAATGAACTCTTAAAAAAAAAAAAAAGCATAAAAGACTTAGTTTATACAGGGTGTCAACTTTTCAACAAAGAAAAGTCTTTGTTATTATCTTTTTAAGTTTTTTTTTTAAATGTTTTATTTATTTCTAGCAGAGAGAGAGAGAGAGAGACAGTGTGAGCAGGGGAGGGTCAGAGAGAGAGGGAGTCACAGACTGAAACAGGCTCCAGGCTCTGAGCTGGCAGTCAGCACAGAGCCCGACGCGGGGCTCGAACCCACGAACAGCGAGATCATGACCTGAGCCGAAGTCAATGCTCAACCGACTGCGCCCCCAGGCACCACCCCCTCCCTGAAAAGTCTTTATAACAAATTGAATCTTGTCCTAACAAATTCAAAATGACTCCCCTTACAGGAGGTGCTCCAGTTCTAACACAGGACACCAGACCCATGCTGCTGACTTTTGTTTCTGGCTGTTAAGGCTCACTGTGGGGTGGGGAAGGGGGGACTGTGGATGAACAAAGAAGAGAAGAAAAAAAATGTACCCTCCTGGCCCAGTAATTAGGGGAGTAATGTGTTTTGAAACAATCCCTTGGATGTATTCTATGCTCGGGCAAAAACATAAACAGCAACACAAGTCCGTCTGAGAACTGGGACTAAAAATCCCGTTATCACGTAGCTTCTAGCACTGTGTAAGGGAAAACCGTGTAAACCCTGTCCTTGACCACAACTTTGGTAATGACTTCTACAGGGGAGCCTCGCCACTACCCGTTGGATGTTGTATGTTTTCAGTCAGCTCAGTGTGTGATCTTCACAACACCACGGTGTGCGAGCTATTCCAGAATGTGCACCCTGAGCACGTTCTGCTGACGCTGCCTGCCACGGGCTCTAGTGACGGAGGGCTGAGGGGCTGAGGGTACGGAGGGCTCAGGAAGGAGGATTTAAGTAACCGACAGGGAGCTCTTTCTACACACATGACAGTAAGTTTAGGAGCCGCCCGTGACTTTAGTGACACATGAGGAAACAGTACCGGACACTAAACATGGGTCTGGTCTCAACAAAGAACCTTTGTGTCCACTCCAGAAAATGCAAGGGTAACTGCCACTCTTTCTTAAAGCCTTTAAAATAAATACATATTATAAAAACATTTTTTAAAGTGTATTTATTTTTAATTTACTATTTCCTTTTTATTTTTATTTTTTTAATTTAATTTTTTTTTTTTACAAATAGTTTATTGTCAAAAGTGTATTTATTTTTGAGAGAGACAGAGACAGAGCGTGAGCGGGGAGGGGCAGAGAGAGCGGCAGACACAGAATCTGAACAGGCTCCAGGCTCCGAGCTGTCAGCACAGAGCCCGATGCAGGGATTGAATTCATGAACTGTGAAATCATGACCTGAGCTGAAGTTGGATACTTAACCAACTGAGCCACTCAGGTGCCCCCAAATAAATAAATATCTTAAATATAATTTTGTGTGGAGAAAAAAAGTGGTTCAGAAAGCAGTGAGACTGCACTTTTTAATGAGCTGCATGTTACCCACACTTGAAAAGCACCACTTACATGTCTTGGAAATTAGTTCAGTGGGAGAAAAGTCACATGTTAACAATTACATTTTCATTATGGCAACAAAAGTGGACTCCACGTTAAAGACAAAACCGCTACAAGCTGCCAAGAATTGAGGCTGGGAAATGTTAGCCAAACTGACGAGGCAAGCCCCCACTTAAAGAGGAACCGCTGGCACCGCCCCCCCCCCCCCAAAGAGCTGATGGGGATTTCCAGGGTCCCCCCCTCTGCTGGGTGCTGTGTTGGAGCCACAGCAGTGGGTTCCCAGGCCTCCACCTGGGAGGCTGGCCTGACTGCCTCAAAGAGCTTGTGGTGAAGCGGTGACAACACAGCCATCTGCTGGGGACCCTGGCCCCGCTGCACGGGGCACCTCGAGCACAGTGATCTCTCAGGCCCGGTGGGACGGCGAGCGGGAAGGCGGATCTAACTGGACCCCTGTGAACACAGCACTAGCACCAGGAGGCAGGAAAGGTGGCAGACGAACACAGGCCGGCCACCGTCCCTGTCTCTGGAGAGGGGACATAGCCACTTAGCCTGGTGTCACCCAAAGCACAAGGGATTCCACACAGGACCTGTCTTCCTTCAATTATCATAAACTGTTGAACACATCTAACTCCCTGTGGCAGAGCCACAGTCTACACGGGGCGTAATCTGTCGGCAGAGTGAGGCTAACAACATTTCTATGATGAAACCAGAATGTGTGACTTTAACCACAAGCCTAGAAAGAAAACCAAAGATGGCAAAAGCCAAAAAACCCCCAAAACCTCCTTTCCACACTAAACATAATAAACTATGGCACATGGTTTCCCTTTAACCAAAAAAACAAAGGGGGGGGGGGGAGAGCAGAAGGAGAGGGAGGAGGAGAAAGAGACAGAGAACCTCAAACAGGCTTTATGCTCAGTGAGGAGCCTGACATGCGGCTCAATCCCATGACACTGGGATCATGACCTGAGCTGCAATCAAGCATTGGATGCTGACCCAGGCGCCCCAAGCAAAATTATTAAAAGTAGTTAAAAGCTTTATTTTAATTTCATTTCAAGAAGGTATTTCCTCCCTAGTGAATTTCTACTACTATGATATAGGTTTTGTGTATGTTAGAGATGAGATACGAAATGTGTCAATTACGGTGAATACTTTACAAAATGTATTATGGAATTTATAAAAACATCGTTAAAATTATGCAGCTAATGTCTCATGTTTGGGGCAATCAATGAACATTTGCCAAACTGGCACAAAAAACTTGGCATAGTGAGCCAGTGGCTGCTTTCTATTTTTGAAGCAGGGTGGGTGAAAACGAAACTCTACAAGAAAAATGAGTACATTCTTTAAATTCACAATCCATTTACAGTTTTAGCTCATAGCTTAAGAGAAGGATAGCTAGCTCAGGATGCTGCCTAGTCAGTGCTTTATCCAAACAGCATTGGAACTAATGATGTGGAAGGGCAAGGGACGAGGGTCAAATCCGAGATAAAACACGGCTCAAAAGCAAATGGGCTTCTTATAAACAAGAAATAGCAACAGGCGGAGACATGACTTTTTATAGAAATCAGGAGCCAGGATTTCTAAACAAGAAAGAAAATTTACTGATAATGTAGCCATTTTACTGGATCGGTTTTCTTCCTAAATTCTAAAGGATGATCCCTGCATGCGTTATTAAGTAAAAATAATAATCAAAACGCCTTGGGTTGGTCATCTTTGCTCCTCTTAAACCTATTCATTCATTTCTATAGGACTCCAGAAAGGCAACTAAATTATTACCAAATAATTTTATCCGGTGAGACAATGAAGCCTTTAATCGTCTTTAATCAATGAAGCCTTCTCTAAAAAATTCATAAACTCATTTCAACAAACCAAATTCTGTGATGAACAAAGGTTCTCTTGATTTATTGCTTTCTTTACTGGGAAGAATTATAAAATGATACAGGATAAGAGCATAAAATGAAGTCTGCATGATGTACAACAGGACAGCATTCATGTCCAAAATAAGTATTTGAGATTTTTTTTTTTTACCTGTCAAGGGAAGGGAGGTAACATGTGAAAACACGCCCAACACCCTTAGACACCAGGGGAATGCAAAGTGAAGCTGGAGTGAATCAGCCTCACACACCTATCAGAATGGCTAGAACGAATAAATCTGACCACACCAAGCACAGGGGGGCGGGGGGGTGGCTATCAGGTCCCTGGAGCTCCCCCCACTGCTGCGGGAAAGTAAAATGGCACAAGCACTTTGGAAAACAGCTGGCAGTTCCACTCTTAGGTATTTACCCGCAGAGAAACAAAAACGTAGGTCCTGTTAACATCACCCTGAAAGCCTGCTGTTTAACATTCCAGAAGTTTTTACTAAGGGCTATTTTTTGTACAACTGCCACTGCTCCTCATTTAGAATTGTGTTTCAAAGTTCATCGCCCCTACTGTGCCAAAATAAAGTCTTTAGCAAGCAGCTTCGTAATCACGAGGTTGCTGAAGCAGTGATCAGGATTTTCTGCGAAGTCAGTAAACGTGAAGAGGTCGGCAGCCATGTCAGTACAGCACATGGCTACTGGGTGAGGGCAGCGTGAGGCCCAAGCCCCTGCGGGGTGGCAGCACTCCGTTCTGACGTCAGGGGAAGGGGGAGTGCGCGCTGGCCGACGAACCCCAGAACCACGGTAGACCTTCTGCTTCCGTAAGCCCTGTTTTGTTCAGTTTTCCCAAGGCTGATACATTTCGATAACCTGGACGCACTGGTGTTAATTCTGTGTGGGCCGAGGCCACCTAACCAACTACCAGCATGGTTCCGCACTGAGGACCATCCGCTTTGGTAGAGCTATCTAAGCACGGGCACAAGGTCCACATAAGACCCGTGCGAGAACGCTTACAGCATCTCGGCACACCCAGCACCGGGTGCGAGTTCAGGGTCTGTCCACAGAGGACCAGATGCACGCACTGTGGCCTGCCCACGGCACAGTGTGCTGCGCGGCAATAAGAAAGAAACAGTGGTCACAAATCTAAGGTGCATAAAATCTCAAAACTATTATCCAAAGTGAAAAAAGCCAGGCAGACAGTACACAGCATCCGACTCCGTTTATACAGTTCGAGAGCACGCAGCTAAGGTACAGCGACACAGGGAGTACCAGAGACATGGTGCGAGGCGGGTGGGGTGAAAGGGGCACAGGAAATCTCTCGGGGGGCGGGGACGGCTGTCCTGATGACAGCGGTGATGGTTCTGCGGGCACACACATCCACGAAGCTGAGCACACACGATGCTTTCTACACGTGCGCTGCGCTTCGGCGAAGCTGCAGGCTGGGGGTGCGTGCTGCCACCCTGAACCCTCTCTGTTGTTCTCCTAGGGAGCCTAGAGGGAAAGAAGTTCCGACCACGGTGATAAGAAGGCACCGGGAGCTGAAGACATGAGCCAGCTGCGGGCCACGAAGCCCGGACTCCTCGTGTGCACAGCCGTGTGCGTGTGCGTTTTCCTTTATTTAAGGGACCCAGCTCCAGAGGAGCTGACGGAGCCCACCGACCCCGCAGCAGTGGAATGCAGCTTTTATCCAGATGAACTGTGTTTGGCTTTGTTTGAAGGGAAAGAGGCCGCCCCCCAAATTGCAAAATTTTGCAAAAACCCTCATGGTTCCCAAATACTTGCCCACATGCACAGGGCAGGAAACTGCTCTCAGGTCTCCCAGAAGGTGCATTTCATAACCAGACCCCTGTCTGCAGAAGAGGCCAACTTCTCTTTGGCATATATTGTATCTACTCACAAGGACCTGACTATGTTTGTGCAGCTGCTCAGAGCTATTTACATGCCTCAAAACGTTTACTGCATTCATGTTGACAAAAAGGCCCCAAAGAAGTATAAGAGTGCTGTGCAAACCCTGGTGAACTGTTTTGAAAATATTTTTATTTCATCCAAGGGAGGAAGAGTGGCCCGCACTGGCTTTACAAGACTGCAGGCAGATATTACTTGCATGAAAGAGCTGGTCCGTTCCAAATTTCAGTGGAACTATGTCATCAACCTTTGTGGACAAGACTTCCCAATCAAAACCAACAAAGAAATCATAGGCTACATCAGGAGCAAATGGGCTGACAAAAACATCACTCCTGGGGTGATCCAACTACCAAACGTTACCTCCAGGACAAGTGGACGTCATCCTGAATTGACCCCTGAAGGAAGTATCCATGGAGCTCCAGAAGGAAGATTCAAAGAGGAACCCCCCCATAACTTAACAATCTATTTTGGAAGCACTTACTATGTACTAACGAGGAAGTTTGTAGAATTTGTACTGACGGACATCCGCGCAAGAGACCTGCTGCAGTGGTGCAGAGGCGTCCCGAGCCCCGAACAGCACTACTGGGTGACCCTGAACCGACTGAAAGGTAAGAACACCCAGCAATACAGTGTCTGTTCAGATCAGAGGCAACAACAGAAGTTTATTCTTAAGGGAAAATTGTATTTCACTATTTGCCAGGGCTTGGTGAAGAGCTCTACATTTTGCAAAACCTTCTTCCACTCTGGGGAGTACGGGAGGGTCTTTAGGGGTCTCAAGTTTGCTGAGAGAAGGCCATGTGCCCAAACCAGCCCGGCTGCTTTTGTTCCCTCTCCAGAAAGAAGTATGACCAATAGCAGAGCACAAATCTTCAGAAACTTCTTCATTTCTTCATTCACTCATTAAATACTATTACTGGGTATATACAAGGGCCAGACGTTGTGCCAGTAAGAATGGAAAACATTAGGGGTGCCCGGGGGGCTCAGTCAGTGGAGTGCTCACCTTCGGCTCAGGTCATGACCTCGCGGTTCATGAGTTCAAGCCGCAGGGCACTCTGCTGTTGGCACAGAACCCGCTTTGGATCTTCTGTCCCCCTTTCTCTGCCCCCTTCCCCACGTGTGCTGTGTCAAAATTAAACATTTAAAAAAACAATGGAAAACATTAAAAGTAGTAATTCTGGGGGTGGCAAACACGATACCTCAGGTAGGTTTTCTAAGAGGTGGAGGGAAACCTGATGTCCTCCCTCCTTTAAGTGGCCTTACTTTGTCTTTGTATAAAGCTGATTCGCTCCTATAAGGGATGTGGCTTCAAGTCTGAATGGCTATAATCGGTCCAGATGACCAGGCAAACACTGAATCCAGCAGAAATCGATTAGGATTTTATTATAGTCTCTCATATCCACTGAAAATTCTATTTTCAAATCCCCTCTGAGGGCCAGCTGTTACGCAGAAAACACAATCCAAAGAAACCCAACACCATCATGCCAACGGCACGCTATACGTGCACAGTGAGTTACTAGGGATGGAGACAGGGACGAAAATGAAAGCCGAACACAAGATTTGGTCAACCCCACTGCCGCTGCCATGCACACTGCCCACCCCAAAGCGTAGCCTTCCATCAGCTGACAAGCAAGCACTTGAAGCGAGGCTGGACTTCCCCTCCACCTTCCTCCCCGACTGTGGCCTCTGGGGAGAGGGGGAGCGCGGCGTGGAAGAGCTGGTGCCTAAAGGCTGAGCAGCTGCCTGTCCACTGCGATGCTTGTTCTTTCCCCCTTAGATGCCCCGGGAGCCACGCCAGACGTCGGCTGGGAAGGAGCCATTCGAGCCATTAAATGGAGAAACGAGGAGGGAAGTGTTCACGATGGATGTAAAGGTAAAAATCGAACCAAATCAAGAGAAGCCTTCCAATTTTACAAAAACTATCCAAAGATGATCGTTAGCAGAAGTAGTGATGGGATTCGTGAGGTCCCAACTACATGAGGTCAATTTTTTTTAGAAAAACTTATTTATAATATCTAGACAGAAAAGCGCACAAATCATATTTGGGTAGATAAATAAATTTTCACAAAGCGAACACACAACTCAGCTGCAACTCTAAAAGGTCTACGGCGCTTGCTTCGGCAGCACGTGTACTAAAACTGAAAGAGGGGATTTGAAAATAGAATTTTCAGTGGATATGAGAGACGGTTGGCATGGCCCCTGTGCAAGGATGACATGCAAAGTTGGGAAGCGTTCTGTGTTTTAAAATAAACAAACAAATAAATGGTTTAAGATAAAAATACAGAAGCTAGCGGGATTCTTCCACCTGCTCCTAGAATTCAAACTCATTTATTTATTATTAAAAAAAATTTTTTTTTAATGTTTTATTTATTTCTAGGAGAGAGAGAGAGAGAGACAGCGTGAGCAGGGGAGGGTCACAGAGAGAGGGAGTCACAGACTGAAACAGGCTCCAGGCTCTGAGCTGGCAGTCAGCACAGAGCCCGACGCGGGGCCCGAACCCACGAACCACGAGATCATGACCTAAGCGAAAGTCGGACGCTTAACCAACTAAGCCACCCAGGCGCCCCTCAAACATTTATTTAAAAACAGCTCTGTGTCCCCCTGGTCTCTACCAGAGCAGGCGAGTGAGGAACGCAGGCAGACGTTCCAGAGTGCGGGTGGCACTAAGTTCTTGCTGAAGGGAAGTAAGGTCTTTCCGCTTGGGCCCCAGGAGACTCTCCCTGGGAGCTGTGAATCCTTTTTCCCCTTTGCCTGGTGTCCAGAGGTTTTAGTTACCAGGACAATACAGAAGAGTAAGACCTGGGGTAGGGACGTTGGTGTCCTTCTTTGGCTAAAAGGCTGGAAAAGCAGCGGCTGGCCGCAGACAAGGGCACAGCCTCGGGCGGAAATGCCTAGGCAGCGAGGGACCCGGAATCGGGCTCCTGTCCCGCCACCATTCACGCCCAGTGTCGGGGCACCGCTCTCCCCCGCCACCTGCAGCGCAGGGTGAGGCAGCTGCCTGAGAGCAGCAGAGGTGAGGGGACAGTCGTCATGGCGCCATATGGACAGGTATAGTGGGGCGAATGCTCTGGGAGCCCACAAGGGAAAGAAAAGTGAGGTGTCTGACCTTCTGGGGGCCGCAAACTGTTGGACAGAGACGGCAGGAAGAGCGGGGGGTGCATAGCAATCCTCCCTCCCCGGGCATCCGGCCTGGCCTCTCTTCTACACAACAGTGTCCCAACAACCGCAGAAACCACCGCACAGACACAGCCACCAATTTTAATAGTGCATTTGGGTGTGGCACTCGGGCTTGATGCACAAAATCAGCCTGGTTCACCCAGTTTCCCAGCCGTTTAAAAGACTGACCTAAGAGAAACAGGTTGTAGACAAATTAAAAAATGTAAACCCAATACCAGAGAATAATTCAAAGACCAGCAACTTCTGGAGCCGTGTGCACAGCCACTCTCCTGACAGGTACCAGGTCAGAAGGGCTGGAATACTTTTCTAGCGTGTTCAATAAATATTTGAGCCATGATTCAATTAGGGAGCTCTTCACACAATAAGGTGGTGATGGTTAGATAGGCTAAGAAGCAACCCTGGCCTTTCTTCAGAAAGCAGGAGCTCCCTGCCATCACACACTGGGGACAAGACCAGTAAGTAAATATTCAGGAAAGGCGGAGGGGAGGGTGGGGGCTCAGACTCCTCCCCAAAACATGATTCATTCACAGAGTAAGAAGTCATGAAGGCTTGCTGCTACCCATAACGAAGTCAGAATTCAGAATTCTTATAACGACAACCTGAATATTTCAATATTTGCCACAAAAGCCCAATTACTGTAAACCTTACCAAAAAATCATCACTGCCCCAAAGTAAACACTGCAGCAAGTTCTTGCCATCGCTCACTTCAGACTGCGAACTGTGTACTAGGAAAGCAGCGGGACAAGTGGCCACCGACGGCCGGTGCTGAGTCAGCCCCCGCCTCAGGCTGAGCACTGGCAGTGACCGTAGACCCCTTCGGAGCCCCGCTCTGCACCCACAGGCAATCCTCACAATGGCTCTCAGTTATTCACACTTTACAGATGAGGAACCCCAGGCTCAGACAGGTGAGGTCACTCCCAATGTCACAGGCAGCGGCACAGGAAGTGGCAGAGCTGGGTCCCTAAGCTGTCTGCTGCCCCTCCAGTGAATAAGTACCCACAGAGCAAGTCACCCTGCTGTTACCAGCAACCAAGAGTATTGTTTACTTGTGATCACCCAAACGGCATTAACCTCACGCTGAGGACTTGCCACGTGCCTGTGTCCCCTTCCTGGTTCAAGTTCACGTGTGCACACAGTAGGGATTATCCAGTTACAGTCATAGGGCAGCCGATTCTCTCTTCGCTACGTCCTAAGTTGTTCATGCAGCTTGTTTTCATGTTCATACTTTCCAACTGGTTCAGTGTAATTCTACTGACAATCGATGACACTGTACCAAGAATGTCTATCAGTTAAAAATATGTCAATTGTGACAAGAGCCACCGCTTATGGGGCGCTTGCCCTGTGCCAGCTGCTTGGCCCTTTCCTGGATGAACGCCTGCTCACCGGCAGAAGGGTCTTTCCACCTCGGTCCTGTCTTACAAACAACACTGGACAGTTCTATACGTGCAGGTCAGCCCCTTTTCTATATTTCCCTGAGATAGGTTCTTAGAAGTAGGATCAATGGGCTGGCCTGGAGAGAGAAGCAGGGTGGAGCTGAGCAGAGAGAGAGGATGGACCCTTCCCTCACGCGCAGACTGAGCGCTGGCTCTTCTGTGAACCGGGGGTGGGGATGGGAAGCACCTTGCAGCGCTGGCCGGAGGGTTAACAGAGAGAGAGAGAAGGAAGAGCCGAGCACAGCGTCAGGCACGTAACGTGAGCCACTGAGCTCGTCGTGAAGGAATCTGGCCCTGGATTCTAACTACCATTTCGATGTCAGTTACTTCTATCTGTATCAGTGCTCACCCCGCAAGAGCAAAAGAGGGCCGGGGCAATGCTGTGTTAACACCGAGGCAATTCTTGCAAACTCCCCACGACCAAGGTAAAAAACCAAAATTCGTGGAGCTCAATTCAGAATTTAGAGCTGGCCAGGCAAATGCATGCTGTGACATCTCCCCCGTGCTCGTGGCTAATGACACTCCACAGCGTCCCCTTAAAGTAGCCGTCACGCATGTCGGAGACCACGAGCAGAAGGAATGCAAGCGTCCTGTCAGAGCCATCGCGGAGGCTGTGTGTGGTCTGGCCTCCGTGAGGCAGGGGCCTTCCTGGTGACCTTGGAAGAGCATCACTTTTCAGGTGTGAACGTAAACCAATGAGACAAACACACTAGTTTTTGTGCTTCTTTCTATAGGGCGCTACGTCCACGGGAGCTGCGTGTACGGACCAGGAGACCTGTCATGGATCATTCGGTCACCTTTGCTGTTCGCCAACAGAGTGGACTCGACAGCCCCTCTGGTGGCCACGTGCCTGGAGAGGCGGCACAGGCTGCAGGCGCTGCGTCAGGCCGAGGTTCCCGCGGAGCCTCACTGGCACTTGCAACAGGAGGGAGAGTCATTTTAACACGAACTGGAGCCGCTGAGCTGGGCGTGTGGGGGCGTCTGTGCTCTTACACGTATAGCTGTTTCCCTGGCTTGTGATAAGAGAACATTTAACCAAAGAAGAAAGAACGACAACTGATTCCTCGATACAAGCTAGCCCTGAAGTGAATTTAGAAATATGCCACGGACGAGACTTCCTTATTAAGCAGAGACCACTCTTAGAGCTTCGAGGAAGAAATCATGAGAGGAAAGGTACTGCTCAGGGCACCGCAGGGGCGCACGGATAGGCCAAGCGGGGCCTGACCACCTCCCTAAACAGTTGCTGCCAAGCTAAGCCGCAAGTTAGAATAAGAGCAGATCTTGTTTTGAAGATACGGCTGTCTGTGAGATTCTAATAAAGAGCAAACTCCCACTGAAAACAGAATTCTGCTTACCTAAAATGGTGCTCTTTGGCTGGGAACTATGTGATTGTGTTCTGGTAACCCTAGAAAAATACAGAAGAGTCTACTTCTTTTGGGTAAAATGAAACTAATCCAGAGTTGAGGCACACTTTCTTAAAAGGGCTGCTGTAAGCTTCTGTAGGCTCGAGGTATTAATCGTACCTTCTGCCCTGATGGCTACATACTACGTCTGGTCTGTTCAACACCAACCACAACCATGGGGGGGCTTTGGGGCATTTGAAATGTGGACTGTGTGCCTGATCAAGTGACTTTTAATCTTTATTTAATTTAAAAATATTGTAATGAACTAAAATTTTAATATTCCCATGTAGCTGGTGGTTACCACATTGAACAGCATAGGTCAAAAGCAGGAATGATCTTAAATCTCCCTACTCCACGGACTTGGGTGTCTAAAGAGTCCATGACCTTGTCATTGTTCTGTTGAGGACATTCTGTCTATCCTCTTGGGCTAAAAGAGTTCACGGCACTGTACAAGACTAAGAACGTACAACCTGTAAGTGGCACCACGTAAAACAACTAAAATAAGGAAATACACGTACAGTTCAAAGGCAAAGTCTGAAGCCTCAAGAAGCTGAAGTTTTGCAATGAAACGGAATCAAATCTGCTTCATCAACAAATGCAGCCCTTGGAGAGCACAGAGCTCGGTAGAAGGAAAAGAGCCTCCCAAAGCACAAGTCAAATGTAACTGCCCACAGAACATGAACATCACCACTGCAATGAGCATTTCTTCCACCTCGACACCTAATTCCAAGCACACAGCGAACATGTTAAGACCATCAGAGACAAGAATATAGGAGCCCACACTTTTACAGGCAAACACAGCGCTCACGGAGGGTACCAACGGGCTATGTTCTGACTGGCTGTTTGGAAAGCTCAAATTCACCATGACTGTGTCCCTGTATTTTATAACAACTCACTAGCAAGTTAGGTGCAAAAACCAGTTTTCATTTCGATGTCCATTCACAGCACAGTCACATTGCCAGGAGAGGGTCCAATAGAGGTGTCTATTTAACAGATTTGCTCTGAGGATGAAGCACTTAGAATTCTAATGTCTGACATGTCTCTCAGATGAGGAAACCGAGGCACAGGGCAACAATGGGGCTTTCCGGGAGCACACGGCCAAGCAAGCGGAGCTGGGATTTGGACCCGAGCTGGCAGTCTGGCCCCAGAGCCCAAGCCTTTACTACACCGCCTCACCCCGTGCAAAGAAACACACGAACTCCTCCGACAGAGGATCAGACGGCACAGCAGCAGCTTCCTCAACATCTGACTTGAGCAGTAGGTAAAAGAGTAACAACAAAAGTCACTCAAAGGCAGGGTGGAGCGCAGCAACAGGAGGTCCAGGGAAGGGCGGGCTGGGTTGCAGTGGGAGAGGAAGCACCGGGAGCGGTGGGGGCTGACGTGCAGGCCTCCCCCAAGGCTGGGCCAGGCGGGCCAGGCCAACATGGAGCAGCAGCCTCCGCCAGCGTTAGAACTAACCGGAAACTGCTGCTCACTCGGGAGTCAGACTCTCACTGTATTCATTTGTAAGAACAAAATTAAATCACACGCAAAAAATGTCTGAAATATGCTGCTCCAGACCGTATCTTTTTTAAATTTTTTTTTTTAATTTATTTCTGAGAGAGAGAGAGAGAGAATGAGCAGGGGAGAGTCAGAGAGAGAGGGAGATACAGAGTCTGAAACAGGCTCCAGGCTCTGAGCTGGCAGTCAGCACAGAGCCCGACGCGGGGCTCGAACGCATGAACCATGAGATCATGACCTGAGCCGAAGTCAGACGCGTAACTCACTGAGCCACCCAGGTGCCCCTCCAGACCGTATCTTAAAGGTGATGCATCAATAGGGATCTTGAGATAATTTCTCTTTCGGGGAGTAGAATCTTCTCGCTAATATGCAGACTCTACTGTTCAATTTTTCTACTGGATTTTTCTTACACATGAAAAAGTTTAAGGTGATGTGTATCATGTGGTTCCCTGAGGCCTAATACTTCCAAAGACCATGAAGACGGCAGAGAGCTAAGATAGCCCTAAGGAGGGCGGAGCCTGGAAAAAAAAAATCAACATTTGCAGACCACTTTTGAAGATACCCCTGCCCTAACATTTTCTCCCCTTTCCATTCTACCTCTCCACAGAAGGACGCAAAAGAGGGGCTCCTGACTGGCTCAGTCGTTGGAACATGAGACTCTTGATCTCAGGGTCTTGAGTTCAAGCCCCACACTGAATGCAGAGCTTACTTAAAAAATGATAATAATTTTAAAAAAAGAACCAGCATGAGTATAAGTTTTTATTCCACTTCTAGCTTTAAAATATCCACAGCACCCCACTCGCCTACCACAAAGTCTAAATAAATGAAGCCAGAAAGGGACAAGCTACCGATCACACTTCTAACATCTAAATTAGGGATTCTTACACTTCATTGTGTGTGCAAATCCCCAGGGCATCTTGTTAAAATGCAGATTTGGTTCCACGGGTCTGGGGAGGGATCTGGGAGCCTGCAGATCTTAAAAAGAGAAAAACAAAAAACCTCCCAGGTGATGTCAATATTGCAGGACCATGGATCATGCTCTGAGTAACGAGCACAGGGTTTATTTTACAAACTGTAATTACTCCAATGTGTTTCTCCTTGTTACAAGAAGGGAAGAACACAGTGGGGAATACAATTAGGTTTTTGGCTACTGACTTGTTTACAGTGAAAACAAACAAAAAAACCTAGCAACTACACCTCTTTGGACCCTGCTGGCTGAAATCAAGTGTGCACACCGCACGTCTGAGAGCACGGAACCAGAGCGATCTGAAACCCTCGGGTCTCCTCTAGTGACTGAAAAACCAAATGTGAATGAAACTACAGAGTGAAGAGTAGAGAAAACATATGCCCTGAAGCGCCCTGAGGCTCCTGAATCACTCTTACAAAGCCGGTTTCTCTAAATTTCAGATGTTATTTTATTTTATTTTATTTTTTTATGTTTTATTTATTTCTAGGAGAGAGAGAGAGAGACAGCATGAGCAGGGGAGGGTCAGAGAGAGAGGGAGTCACAGACTGAAACAGGCTCCAGGCTCTGAGCTGGCAGTCAGCACAGAGCCCGACGCGGGGCCCGAACCCACGAACCGCGAGATCATGACCTAAGCGAAAGTCGGACGCTTAACCGACTAAGCCACCCAGGCGCCCCCAGATGTTATTTTAAAAAGGGAAAATATCTGTTTCAGACTTGGACGCTGTCGCTTTATCTCCCTTCGCTGGCGTGTCCACGGTGTGCTGCAGCTGAAAGTCCTCCATCATTCTTCCTGTTGGCACTGTGGCGAAACGGCTGGGGTTCACGTCTCCCTGGGCACCAGCTGCGCCCCCTTCCCCAGGCTTCCCTGCCGCTACGTCAGGTGCTGTCCCGGGCAGCGTTAAGTCTGGAAGTCTGGGCACTGCTTCCAGGCCTGGGCCACGAAAACCTCCTCCGCTGCGTGCTCCCCCGCTGCTCTCGTCGCCGGGATGCAGAACACTCCCAAACCCAGAGGAGGTCTGAGCCGTAAGACAGCAGGAGCCCGAGTCCCTGACTTTGCCCAGGAAGAAGGCTGCCCAGCCAGGAACTTTCGCTGTATTAGCCACTGGAACTTGAGGGCTGTCTGCCTTAGGGGTCAGACAGCCTTGACTGACATACTTAGTATTACTGAACTTCGGAGACTTTAAATTACAAGTAAGGGGCACCTGGGTGGCTAAGTCAGTTAAGCGTCCAACTTCAGCTCAGGTCACGATCTCACAGTTTGTGGGTTCAAGCCCCACGTTGGCTCTGTGCTGACAGCTCAGAGCCTGGAGCCTGTTTCTGATTCTGTGTCTCCCTCTCTGCCCCTCCCCAGCTCGTGCTCTGTCTCTCTCTCAAAAATAAACATTAAAAATATTTAAAAAAAATTACAAGTATGAGTTTGATTCCTGTAAACAGTATACAAATTTGGCATTCAGTTTATTATTTTAAAACGCTATGGTCTGAAATCTCCATCGAGAGGATCTAAGAACGTACTATAATCCGTCCCGTCACGTGTTAGAATCTGAAGCCCAGAGGCTGAAGCGATGCTCCCGAGCCAGTGCTGGTGTGGGACCCAAAGCGTCAGCACACCAGGCTCCCACCATTCGCTGTGTGGACAAATGGCTCCCACTCACATGGGCACTGAATGTCCAGGCTCTTTCATTTTCTAAAAGGCAGTGTTATGTGCTGAATGTGTCCCCCACAAAAAGTTGAAGTCCTAGCCCTCCATACGTCAGAATAGGACCTTCTGTGGAAATCAGGTCACCGTAGATGTAATGAGTTAACATGCAGTCACGATGCTGGGCCCTAAGCCAATGCATTTGGACATAGACAGACTTCATGGAGAGAACACTGTATGAAGACTCGAGGGGAGAAGATGGCATCTCACAGCCCTTAGGATGAACCAGCCTTGCCCACACTGTGATTTCAGACTTTGTGGCCTCGAGAACAGTAATTCCTGATGAGTCACCCAGGTTGTGCCTTGTTAAGGTGGCCCTGGGGAGCTGATACATAGAATATTCAACCTCACTCTGCAGGGGCAGTTTTCACATGAGTCCTGGAAGCTAAAAGTGCTCACTATCTGGCTTTTCTGGCAACAGTTTTCTTTCTTCTTTTTTTTTTTTTTTTTTAATTTATTATTTCTAGGAGAGAGAGAGAGAGACAGCGTGAGCAGGGGAGGGTCAGAGAGAGAGGGAGTCACAGACTGAAACAGGCTCCAGGCTCTGAGCTGGCAGTCAGCACAGAGCCCGACGTGGGGCCCGAACCCACGAACGTGAGATCATGACCTAAGCGAAAGTCGGACGCTTAACCGACTAAGCCACCCAGGTGCCCCAGTTTTCTTTCTTCTTAAGAAAATTCCCAAAAAAAAAAAAAGAGAAAATTCTTGGGGCACCTGGGGGGCTCAGTTGGTTGAGTGTCTGACTTCGACCCATGTCATGATCTTGCGGTTTATGGGTTTGAGCCCCACATCGGGCTCCATGCTGACAGCTTAAAGCCTGGAGCTGCTTCGGATACTGTGCCTCCCTCTCTCTCTGTCCTTCCCCCCACCCATTCTCTCTCTCTCAAAAATAAGCATTAAAAAAAAGTTAAAAAAAAAAAAAAGAAAATTCTCTCCCTGAGGTATTCCTGAATGATCCGGAGGGTCTGACAGCCGTGGGGGCCGCCCCTACGGAACAGGAAGCGCCAGCTCTCCTGGTTCTCACTGCCCTCGGTTCCCCTTTCTCCTGCTTCCTTCCCTTCCCCTGAAGTGGTCAAGGTACTGACGTTTAAATGTTTACTAGCATCCAGGGCTGCCGGGGGGGCTCAGTCGGTTAAGCGTCTGACTCTTGATTTCAGCTCAGCTAAAGATCTCACGATTCATAAGTTCAAACCCCGTGTCTAGCTCTGCGCTGACAGCACAGCACCTGCTTGGGATTCTCTCTCCCTCTTTCTCTGCCCCTCCCCAACTTGTGTTTTCTCTCTTAAAATAAACAAACTTTAAAAAAAAATTAAAAGTTTACTAGCATCCAGTCAAACTTTCCAAGCACAACACAAGACGAGCCGTGCCGGACCCGCTAGCCGGAGCTCCGGGCACACAGCCCTCCCCCCTGCCGCCCCCCACACACCCCGGAGGAGCCCTGCAGGGGTCAGAGAGCCAGTGAACACCTACTCAGAGCCCTTCCCGTCAAGGTAAGCAAGAAGTCTGAAGGAGCTGAAATGGGAGTCCCCAGGTCACCATCTGAAGTCTCGCAGACACGTCTGGGGTCCTCTCTGCACACCGCCCCCACGGGCCCTTGTACCACTGGGGGCCACGTCCCGACCTCTGGGAAGGTCTGACTGAGAACCATGCTCTGCCTTCGAGGCTTAGAACAAACGTCTCCTCCTTCATAAAGCCACTGCTCACCGGCACAGTCAAAAGAAAGTTCTCTGGCCCCTGAGCTCTAACAACATCTTTATCATCCACTTGGTAGCTGGATTCAAAAAAAAAAAAGAGAACAGGAGCACCTGGGTGGCTCAGTCGGTTTTGCATCCAACTTCCACTCAGGTCATGATCTCATGGTTCATGAGTTTGAGCCCCGCGTCAGGCTCTCTGCTGTCAGTGCAGAGCCTGCCTCGGATACCCTTCCCCACCTCTCTGCCCCTCCCCCACGCGTGCACACTCTCTAAAAAATAAACATTTAAGAAAGAAGAGGATTCTTCATCTGACTTATGCTTCCGGCAGGACTGCGGTCTCCTGGAGTGCAGACCGTGCCTTCTCCTCCCCCGGAGCGCCTATCGCCCCACCTTTAACACAAGATGTTCTGAGCACACGTGAGTAAATGACATAAATCAATTTCCGAAAGCATACTGTGAATGTCTTCTCTTTTGTAAAAGCTTAACGGGACAGACTCCAAATCCTGTGATGGTGTTATTCAGTCACCCCAAACTGGAAACAACTCCATGCCCCCCAGGGACTTCTTCACCAGCAACTACCCTCTGCCCATCTTTGAGTCCCAAGCACACGGAATCACGCAGGGTGTCCTCCGTGTCTGGCTTCTCGCGCAGAGGGACTGCTGTGAAACTGCAGTACACACGGCCCAGTTTACAGCTGCCCCTGGCTTCCCACCGCACTCAGTAAGGTCCAAAAGCCCCAAGGTGGGTGGCCGCGCCCTCTATGAAGTGACCCCTACCTGTGAGTTTCTTCCACTTCTCCCCACCCTCCTTCCGTTCTCACTCTAGCCACATCCTGTCACTTCTCAGCTGTCACTCCAACTCTGCTTGGCTGGCTCCTCTGGGTCCTTCAGGTCAGCCCTAACCTCCAGAGGTGCCTCTGTCAGCCACCACCGTGCCAGCCACTTCTGGGACGTCACCCCCTGTGTTTCCTTCCCGCCACCTGTCACAGCCGCAACTGCCCTGAGCCTCCTTCCCTGTTACCGGAGCGCCTCTCCAACTGGGATGGGGGCTCCATGAAGGCAGGGACTGTGGAGATCTCACCCACCAGGCTCCCACCATACAGTGCCCGGCACACGGGCTGGGCCCGCCAGGTGCTCAGTGAAAGCTGCACTCTTTCAATGAGAGAGTAATTCACAAGAGGGGGAAGCAGAACGAGGGGCCTAATGAAATGCAAGCAGAGCTGACACGGGGGAAAGGACAATCAGGAGCTGTTGGCATTCACAACATTCAAGTAAATGGCAAGTTTTCCGCGGGCGAACAGAACACGAGAGACACAAACGTCTGGGGGCCACGGGCATTTTTGTCACGTGACCCGAGCAGGTGCGCTCCTACATCACGTGTCTGCCCTCTCGCCTGAGCACGTACTGAAGACACATACGTGCCCTGCAGAGCGGCAACTCCGGGGCTGAGGAGATGCACAAGCCTCGCTCCTGCTCTCGGACACTCAACAGGAGAAGCACAGAGGATTTTCAGGGGCAGCGGAAACACCGCCTGTGCTGCTATAATGGTGGGCACGTGTCATCACACATTCGTCCACACCCATGGGATGTGCAAGCGAACCTTCACGCAAACCGGAGGTTGCGGGTGATGGTGAGTGAAGGCAGGGTCATCAGTTATAACAAATGTACTCCTTGGTGGGGATGTTGATAATGGGGGGGTGCTGTGTGTTGGGGGGGCAGAAGGAATAGGGGAAATCCCTTGCTTTCCTCTTAATTTTGCTGTGAACCTAATGCTATTCTAAAGAAGTAAAGTCTTATGGGGCGGGACGGGGGGGAGGGGGAGAGAAAAGGGGAAAAAACCACGAATCACCCAAGTCCTGTGGGGAACCCGCCACGGAATACGGAACTACCAATTATGTTCTGATGAGGTGAGCGAGCTAACAAGGTGCCCAGGGACCGGGGAAGGAGGCTGCACAGCAAGGATCACAGGGGACATGACCTCCCCTGGCTGGCGGGTCACGTACACGGAACAAACGCACACAGGGAGCAGCCCAAGCCTGGCCTGAGCTGGACAGGCCAGCAGGGACAGGTCACCAAAGGCTCTCTGAGTCTGTTTCTGGAAAAGAGGAGCCACGGAAGGGTTTGAAGCAGAGAAACAACGAATCAGATCTGTTTCAGAAAGAACTGAAACCTGAGGAAATGACACATGGAGGGGGGACCCTAAACCGTCCGATTTCCTCAGCTACCAAGAAGGAACAAATGACAGGTGTCAATAACTCACTGTGTGACAAACTTCTGCTTTTATCTCTTTCAAGGCTCGTTCAGAAAATACACAACCACAGCACCGCAGGAAGCAAAACCTGGAGAAATAATCCAAAATGGAAGATGACTTAAATAATAATTTAAAAATCACACCCAGATCATCAGTTAACATTTGTTCAGTTTAGACAAAGGCCAAGAACTACAAAGAGAAAAATGGTCACGTTTGATTCCATTAAGGGAAAAAATTAGTACATCCTATACACACATTTCTATGTAGAGACAGAAACAGAGAAACAAAGGCCATAGTTCCATTCCTGATCCCTTGCAACAATCCTTTAGAATCAAGTCTCTCCTACAAATAAAATAAATACATTAAAAATAAAGTTACAAGCATAAAAAGTCAAAAGGCAGAATAGGAACTCAAGGAGAGAATATTTTAAAAATATATGAGATTGTGTGTTTATGAATATTCAAAATGGTCTTTAAAAGCAAAAATAAAGTGTGTTAGAAAAATGGGCAAAAGGCATTCACATGCTATTCGCAAAAGAACTATAATTGGCCAAAACATAAAAGATACTTAACCTCAACTGTTAAAGAAATTCACTGCAAACAACATCATGGAACGTTTTACGTAACCAGCAACAGCAACGACGAAAGAGACCGAGGTGTCCAGCAGGAAACTGTCTGAGGAAATAGGCCTGACTGGGGTGGGGGGTGGGGGGGGCACAGCACAGGGATCTTGGAAGGACAATTTGGCAGTGTTAAGCACAAGAATCACCTTTTGCAACATCTCCTATAAAACCTGCCCACAAGTGTGCAAATGTGTAAGTTGTGTGGGACCGCGCTGCTTGGAACAAGGAAAAAGAAGAAAGAGCTTAAATGTTCGTGAACAGAGGAACGGTTAGTTACGGAAATCAGGAATGCTCACACAGCTGTTAAAAAGAGTAAGGTAAGTGTATATGCAAGGCCATGAAAATATGCTCAAATTAGGGAAGTGAGGAAAAAAGAGGTTACGAGATATGCACAGTGTGTTTCCATGACTGTGGGAAGAACGCACGTTAATGTTTCTACTGGCAGAGGCTTAGGATGGTGCATGTGCACTGGGGCTGGGGGGTCTGTTACACTCCAAACAACTAAGAACGCTGCCACTGAGGGAGGGGATTGGGGGAAAGGGGCAAAAATCATCAAGTGTACACTTTACATGTTCCTCTAAAAATGCTGCAATAGAAGGGCTTTCCAATTCCCTAGGGACTGTAGTGGCTGAGAATGCCTCAACAAAAACTCAACTAACAACACTACCAAATTCACTTACTGTTGTTTAGAACCAAAAAAAAAAATTCTACTTTATGGATGCTTACTAACTACTAGTAATTTAGAAAATTATTTTTCTTTAAACAAAGGCTCAATGTTTTCATTACACTAATCATTTATTTCTATTTTTCCTCTATATTTGAATCTTTATTATATAAAATTTAATAAATGTACAAGCTAAACCTCAAATCAATTTTCTAGTGTGGAGGCCCTATTAGTAGCAGGAGGGCAAAGCCAAAATACACGAAGCTCAATTCACTGGGAAGAGAAAAAGGCGATTAGGCAGCGAGTGAGAGGGAGAAACTAGGGAAGCCACAATTGGAGCAAGAGCTATATGTAACCCCTGCTCAGGACCCCAGAGTTGAGTCTGTTTCTGCTAAGTTCCTCTTCTGGAGTGAACCACGGTTTTCTTAAAAAGAAGTGGGTAGCCAGACCCAAAAGGTCAAACACTGATATGAAGGCAATTTCTAGAAGAGGCAAATCCCTGAAGACAGACAGCAGATGAGGTGGCCGGGGGCCGGGGGGCTGGGGAGTGGGGAGGGGCTGCTCCATGGCCAGGGGGTTTTCCTTTGTGGTTGGGGGAAATGGAGGAAGGAACCAGATGGAGGCGGTGACTTTTATGTTACGACTTTCATTTTGAAATAACATGTACGGACACCGCGGACAGAAACACACACAAAAGTGGGACGAGGTTAGGTAGGCGAGTGGGCTTCCCTGGAATCCCGCCTGCTTGACCCTACAGTGAACTTCAGCTTTATAATTAATTTTTTCTTTCAGCTTTATTTAGGTATACTTGACAAACACAGATTGTATATATTCAGGGTGTACAACTTGATGATCTGGTATGTACTCACATTGTGGAATGATCATCAAGCCAACTAACATACCCACCATCTCAGTTACCACTACATGGTAAACTCTGAGAGGTTTAAATGGCTTCACTTCAGACTTTCTGAAGAATATAATCTTTAAAAGCTCCTTGGGCCTAAAATTTTACTTTTCTCCAAATCCATAAAGCCACAGGTTATTCCATTTTAGAACATGGTGGTTCCTCCCTCTGGCAGTTTGCCCTGCACGGCACAAACACATCTGTTAAGAGGATGCGTCAAATGTGCCGGAATACTCCAGGTTAAATGTGGTTGTTTACAGATCACTGGAAGTTTTTACTTATGTGAGATACCTCTGCTCCCAAGTCTAACCCATTTCCTGAATGTAAATGGTAAAAAGTTACTACCTTCAACATGTAATGCATTAGACGGAAGATTCCAGATGACAGTGGGGACTTACTAGCTTTTAAAGTTATTTCTAAATGGTGGGGAAAGAGTTTACAGCCTTGCCTTACACTGAGAAATCCTATAAAAAGGCACCTACTAAGCCATTCAACATTCATATTTTTTAAGGCGGAAGGGTACAGGTCGGTTACGTTTGCTACAAATGTCAACCTTAACATTCCCTGTGCTCTAGTCAGAGGGCTTGTTCACTCCAAACTCACAGCAAGTTATCTTCTCAGCTAGGTCTTTAGCTGATGTCATGACCACACATTCGGTAGAACGATTTTACGCTGCCTGGTCTTCAGCAATTATAAGGAAGTGGAAGTTGTCTGACAGGCACATTTGTCCCTTGCTTCCTCTCCCAGAGGAAAAGGCCAAATAATGCACATCCAGTGTCAAACGAGAAATTTTAAAAATCCCTGTCTACTTCAGGCTCTCCTACTCTCAAGAACAGAAGGCACAGGGGGTGGGCGCCTGGGTGGCTCAGTCAGTTACGCGTCTGACTTTGGCTCAGGTCATGATCCCGCAGTTAGTGGGTTCGAGCCCCACATCAGGCTCTGTGCTGACAGCTCAGAGCCTGGAGCCTGATTCAGATCCTGTGTCTACCTCTCCTGCTTGTGCTCTCTCTCTCTCAAAAATAAATAAAGGCTTAAAAAAAAAGAACAGAAGGTACAGGAACCGAACTTGAGTGGACTTGGACGCCAAATTACAAATGGCTGCCAGGAAATGAACACAGTCTTGGGCCAGCTCTGCTGCCTCTGAGGCACCACCCAAACCAAAGGGCACCTTTGAGAAGTCTGTGCGATTCTAAGGCCACAGCGCCAATCCTAACAGTACCAGTACTATCTAACCAGACTCCGCGTCAGCTGTCCCACCTCCATCACTGACCTGTGCCGGCCATTCATCTCCAAGCCCACAACGGGACAGATGAAACGTGCCCGCTGGAGGTCATCGTGTTTGTCACCTTTTGTGTTTCCTTTATCCCCTTCCCAGGCGGGATTATCAGAAAGCCTTAGTTCTGTCACATTCTGTGAAAAAAAAATCAATATTTTAAGACTTCATCTGGTATGTGGATCATCCTTGGCCTCAAGAACCACCTCAATCAACAGAGAAATGGTTACTACAGTCCTTTTCCATCCAAGCCTCCTCTTCCTACTTTCCTTTAGCCATCACTTATAATATGAATACAAAAAATGAGACCATAAATTATGAGAGACAACAAGAGATTTTAAACTCACTGACTGGCAAGTGAATTAGTTAATTTCTATTTTACAAATATTTTGCTATTTAGGAAAAAGGAACTCTGGACATGAAAAACTACACCAGTAAGAGAGAGCTCTGTATTAGTTTCATCCAGAATGGAACATTTTCTTTCTCTGCAGATCAATCCTCCCTGAGGTGTTCCATATTACTGGCTGCCCATGTTTATTTCATAACTGAATAGACAGTAAAAACTATGAGGCCATGGTCTAATGAGTCCCAAGCAGAATATTAGCCAGGGAATACTATTATAGTCCAAGATCTGGCCATTCAGGTTTTCAAAAACTCACCTTCACAAGGAGTGATCTAATGGCTCCACTTGGGCATCGGACATTTAACCCACCATTTTGGTTTCAGCACTATGGACAGCAGCCAAGTGCCTCTGAAGCAAAGCCGCCATGCACTGGCTCGGCTTCCTTGTTAATGCTTCCATGTGTCTCCTCCAGTTCTCTGCTAAGTATGTGTGGACTAGTAAATGACGGTAATGATAATCTTGCATATCTGCATCATTTAATCTGAATCCTTCTGCTTTTACAGTTCTGATTTCTTGGAATATTTTCTTTTTTGCATTAAAAGTTCAACCATGCACCTTGAATATTACTTTAAATATAAAACTGTATAAATTAATTTCAATGATAATCATATCAAGATAAGATCATTATGCTACCATGGGTCTTTTAAGGAGAAATGAATTCTCTTCCCAAGATAAAAGGTGACAAAAACCAACATGGTTATTTTTAAAGCACTACTTTAGCTACATCAGAATTACTAATGTGCCTGAAATTAACTTTTCTTGTATCCTGTAATCACCCCAAGAATTCAAACAAAAAGCCTAATATAATAATAAAAATATTAAAAAGAAAAAGAAAAGAAAAACCCAAAGCCTTATTATGGGAAGCCAGGGACTCTGATTCTGAGTTAGATGCCTCATTCGCTGTGTGGCCTCAAAAAGTCATGGATAATGAGAATTCTCTGCCACTTTTCTGATTTTTCTCCCATTGACCAGATATGAAAGATTTTTGTCCTCTCAACCAACTCCTTTACTAAGTAACTCGTTTTTCCATTTTTATGAAAGAACTTTAACTGCCAATCAGAATGTCTAATTAGCAAGAGATACCACACTGATTTCACAGTGATCTACCTAGAGAAGTCTCTGGTTCTAGAAGAATTACAGAATTGAATAAAAAATCTGAGTAGCTAAGTTTTACATACAAAACTGATGTCTCTAAACATTTATACATCACTTTAAGAATTTCCAAAGTTCTTTTGCATATATTAATTTATAACAGATTTATAATGCAGGAAGGACAGGTGTGGGAATGTCTGGCTTGAGCTTTAAGGGACCTGCCCCAAATCACACTTTTCCTTGGTGGCTGGGAGGGACTGGAATTCCAAATCCCCGAGTTCAGTCTATAATGTGCATGAACTGCATAAAATAAATCTTAACCACTGACACCCTTGGAGCACTTCAGAATCACCTGTCTTACCTTAATGCTTTTAATGTGAGATGCTGCCTTCCCAAGAGCCTTTTCGGAAGATTTGTCCAAAAGAAATTCAATGACGGCATCTTTGTTGTAAAGTCTGCAACAATAAGGGTTATAGTCCAAACACCGTGGTGACAATCAGCCTCCACTCAAAGGAGGAAGAACTAAACTGAGCTCAATCCAAAGTCATCTACATTGGATAACAGAAATGCCTTGCATCCCTAAAAAAAAGTAAATTAAATCCTGTTTCAACTATTTCCAGAACATACAAAGAAAGGAAGTAGTTTAAATCAAGGGTTGCAACCTGGCAATCTGAGGGCTGAATGGGATCTGAACAGTATGGAAATTTAATATAAAAGTACACATTTTCAACTTTTCCTGGAAAAAAAAAATCAGAAGTTCTGGAACCGCTTGGCCCACATTCTTGAACTGCAACAGCTGACTGGAAAGGAGTAGCAGCTACCCTTTCAGACAGGACCCGGGCTCTCCAGTTTCCTCCAGGCCCCACTGTGCCTTACGGCCCCACGTGGCTCCTTCACGCGTTTACGTTTATAACTGAGCTCCTATTGCCCTTGAATTTTCAGATCATGGATTAAATAAATCAAACTGAATAGAAAAATGCAGAAGTATGGCCAGCGACAGGGAACGATAACCGAGACTTCACACATTTGTTTGAGCTAATTCACATTTCATGAATCAAGAACAGCACTTACACATTAACATTCTTCTAAAAATCACTGAATAAAAACTCATCTCAATTAAATAAAGGAACCATACCTGCCAAGTTCACAGGCAACTATGGGTCGCCTTAGTATCTCCTGACTTAAAGTACAGTAGTTCCACTGGGCCACTAGTTCAGCATCTTTGTCAACCTAAGGGAAAAAAAAAAATCCTTCCAATTAACTTCACCTCTGAGAGACATACGGTCCACAGTTCTACATATAAAGGCTTATTCAGTGTTACCACACACGTGATGATTTTTGTCTTTTAAATCAAAGATAGCAACATATGAAGAATCAACACCATGTCAAGTAAAGTTCCCTCTAAACGGGACACCTACAACAAAACATTCACATCAAGTCACTAAAGTGCTTATGCAAGCTGCATATGAATATTAGCATTTGTATCTTTACAAGTTTTTTAATTTATTTTTTTTAGTAATCTCTACACTCAACGTGGGGCTCGAACTCACAACCCCGAAATCAAGAGTCACACACTCTTCCAACCGAGCGAGCCAGGCAGCCCTAGGATTTGTTTCTTAACAGTAAAGTTAGAGAAGCCATAAAGAAAACAATAAGCAGTACTGGTTAATTTCTATCAATGGGAAAGGCTCCAAGGCTTTAGCAGAATTTAGAGTACTAAGAACTTAGAAAATAGGTATTTTTTAAAAGTGCAGCACAAAGACTATAGAACTCTTTTAATTTAGTTTAAAAAATGTTTTTAATATTTATTTAATTTTGAGAGAGGGAAAGAAAGCGAGTGAGTGCGAGCGGGGGAGGGGCAGAGAGAGAAGAGACACAGAATCCAAAGCAGGCTCCAGGCTCTGAGCTGTCACCACAGAGCCCGACGCGGGGCTTGAACTCACAGACTGCGAGATTATAACCTGAGCCAAAGGCGGACACTTACCCGACGGAGCCAGCCAGGAGCCCCAAGACCATAGGATTCTTAACAAAAATCACCAGTTCAACACTATTCCTTAGGAAGCATATCAAATCCCTAACCACATTATGAAAATCCAAACATAAGACCTTCCATTGCCCTCAAATGCTATTTCGGCCATAGAATATTGCATGTCCCACTCTTTCCCCCTTCTAAAATGCCAAACCTGAATAATATAATGGGATGGCATGAGAGGGAGAAAAGAGGAAAAGACAAACACGAGGAAAAATTCCCTTCAACTTAATTTCTGCAGTAACAACTGCTTAAGTGTTTCCTGGGTGCCAAGCGCTATGTTAAGCAGTTTCTCTGACTTAATCTTAGCCCTCAGAAAACCCCTAACTTAGTATTTTTACTTTGTTTTTGAGGGACTGGGGTACCAAGAGGTTAGGTTACATGTCCAAGGTCACACAGCCATTAGATGAGGGAGCTAAGATAAGAACCCAAGCAGGCTGGCTCCAGAGACCATGCTTCTAATTGTTACTTTCTACTGCCTTTCTATTACTTCAAACAGAACAACCCACATTACTGCAACTGCGATTCTATCCATACCCCAGATTCAAGAGCCACACTTTGGCAGCTTAAATGGCTTTTATCAAAATTCACATTGCAGCTGAGCCCCAAGAAAAACCTGCCATCACTGAAGTCAATTTACTATACTGTCTTCAGATTCAAAAAAGCCACTCAGCTAGTCCAGGATCTACTTTCTGGACCCCTCACCTTCTTTTCCCATAGTCCTTAGCTGATTAAACATATATTGGGGGAGTTGGGGACAGGGAGAAAAGCGACAAACTAATCCTTACCCAAGGATCTAAAAATTGGTAACCCCCAAAAACTTCTGAAAACATTTTTTTCCAAAGACTGTCTTCTTTTCAGGGCAAGGTCTTAAATTACAGACCAAACACACCATATGAGTGATCAAAAATATTGAATTACTATATATCTGGGGCACCTGGGTAACTCAGTCGGTTAAGTCCGACTTCGGCTCAGGTCATGATCTCACGATTCGTGGGTTTGAGCCCCACGTCCGGCTCTGTGCTGACAGCTCGGAGCCTGGAGCCTGCTTTGGATTCTGTGTCTCCCTTTCTCTCTGCCCCTCCCCGTCCCCAAAATAAATAAACATTAAAATGCTTTTTAAAAAACTGCTATACGTCTATCTGAATAAGCAATGCAAAGGCTGGACTCTGTTCACTGCTGTGTCCCCAGGACCTAGAATGGTGTCTATGGTAAGCATTCAATAAAGTATTTGTTGAATAACTAAGGATAACAAAAATCCATCCTGTCTGAGCACTCGGGCTATCTCTGATCCCCCGTTTTTTCTTTTCTATCCCCTTCTGACCCCCTGCCACGCTTTCCATTGAGCTGCTCCTCTTCAGCCCTGGCCGTAATTTAACAAAACTAGCTGAATGCTTTTTTGGCAAAAGCTCTCATGAGTGTTAACTATCCAGCCTTAGTCTATGCACATGTAGGTGTGATCAGAAGGCACCCTCCCTCCTTGCGAGTGCTCACTCATTCTTGCAGTCAACACATATTTACCAGGGGTTGACTGTGTGGCAGACAAAGGTAAGACATACAAGGTCTCTGTTCATGTAAAACAAACACAGACAATAAATAAATAAAAACTGTGATTAAGTACTATAAAGAAAAGTAAAGCAGCAGAAGCGGATAGGGAGCGAATGCATTTTGGCAACAGTGGACTGAAATGACACTGGAGGAAGGAACTGAATGAAGTAAAGAAATGAATGATATCTCAGCAAACAATATATCAGAATGTGGACATTACACCCCAGGCTGAAGAACTAAGGCCTGTGTAGCTGAAACAGAATGAAAGACATGGGGGGGGGGGGGCGGGTAGAAGACAACGGGGTAAGAGAGACAAGGCATCTGATCACACAGGACCTGGTGGGATTTTACTCTGAATATGACAAAAAGCTGCTTGAGGGTTTAAAACACGGTAGTGATATATGAGATTTACCCTTCAAAAAGCTTTCTCCGGCTGCTGAATGGAGAATATATAGGCAGCACCCATGCGTGCCAGGCGCTAAATCAGGGGCTTTACATGCCTTCTGTTATTAAAACGGAATTACTAATACTTTGGGGCGCCTAGCTTAGTCGCTACAGCATGTGACTCTTGATCCTGAGGTTGTGAGTTGGTGCCCCCTGATGGGCATAAATTTTTTAAAAATAAAGCGTTTAGGAAAAAAATAATTACCAATGCTACTTTTGAATTCCTGAATAAATGGCTGGAAATCCCGGCTTCATTACCTATCAGTTATGTGATCCTGGTCATGTTGCTGACTCAGTTTTCCTGTTAGTGGCACGGAAATCATTATACACAACGTTCTCAGTTACCTAGGAGAATTAAAAACTAACACTCATTCATTTACTCACCATATTTACTGTGCTAGGAACTGTGCTAGCCGTAGGGGGGGGGGGGAGGCAAAGCCTCTGCCACAGGGAGCTTACCTTCCTCTGTGACTGACACTCATCAACCACGAAGGCAGTGCACAGAGTGGCAAGATTGTTTTTTAGGAAAAGGGCCTGCTCTCATGTGAATAAGGGAACCTCTGCGAAGAAGCCCCGCAGAAAATGAAGTTAGTGTGTACAAAGCTCAATGAACAGCAGCCATTTGTATCACTGTTACTAACGGCAGACAGGCTTTAAATCCTGGGCCTGGCACTGAACTCGCGCTGGAACTTTGTCTTCTTGGCCCTCAGTTTCTAGGTCTGAAAAACGCGGACAATGACAGTAAGAACTGGCCGAGCCACCCCATATAAAGCGTACTCCCAGGTGAATGGCAGCAGCAAGCACTCAGTAAAGGTCCAATATTAATACTGTCGTTAATTCTGAGTTCAAATGAGCACGTCAGCGTCAAGAACCCCGCTGGCTCACGCACCATCACCTCCCCTCGCTCCCTGGGGACCCCACAACCCACGGGCCCACGGTCACTGACCTTCTCAACTTTCTTCGGCCCCTTCACCAGTTCGTGTCTCTTGGGGATTGTTCCTCCGTCGCAACCCATCGCAAACCAGGACTCGGAGACACCAGGAATACCCAGCAGCGGCTACTTCCGGGGGTCCCTGGCGACCGCGGCAGGCACTTCCGGCGCGCCTGGATGACGCACTACGCCCGACGCGGCTCAGTGGGGCGGATCCGTTGCCAAGCCCTGGTTGCCATGGAGAGCGTCGCTAGGCGCTGGGCGAGGCCCCGCGGGGAGGGCCGCGGGAGCGCACGCGAAGCCTCGGGCGCCCAGGGCCAGGCGGAGCGTCCTTCCGCCTCCCGGTGGGCGCTGGGTTCCTGCCGCGCTGTGACGATCGCTCGCCGCGATTCGGGAGCAGGGGCGACTCAGGAGCAGCCCCGGTCCTGGGGCCCCGTCCCACCCCAGCACGTCTGCCTGAGGGTCCGGCACATCCTGGGACTGGGGGCGCCTGGTGGGAAAGGGGTGCAGTTTCTTAAATGCAATTAATGATGCGTGTGAATGACGTCTGTTGTGTCAGATAAGCATTGCGTGTTTAAAGGAGAACTTATAATTGAGCACCAGTGTGACTTTAACACTGTCAACAAATCCTGTGAAGTAGTGTTATAGAGATTCTCGGAGAGGAAGATTCTCTAGGCCTGAAACTTTGATACCGCCGTGTGGACCGCCTGTAGATGGAGTGTTGCAGAGTTTGTCCGGCATGTATTTGATTCACAGCCCTTTTTATGTAGTTATAAAAAAGCAGGTATAGGGAACAGAGGCAGCTATAAAAGCTACGCTGATATTTACTTGCCTTTTGCAAGAGACAGGTTGTATTAGGTCTATAACGAGACCCCAAAATCCCTTGCAAAACCCCGGCTAAAATCCATGACTGACTGCTTTCAGGCTCTTGACTAGCTTTCCAGTTTTTCCTTTAATTATTATAAATATGAGGGGAAAGGCTAACCACAGCGAATAAGGAGGGCCCATGCGATTGGATCTTACCTTGCTGACCACAGTGAGATGTAAAAAATCAAAATAAATAAAAATAACATAAAATAAAAACAAAACCCTGGAAATATTCCCCAGTTGGGAACAATATGTGGATATGAAACTTCAAGGACTGTAACATTGGATTCTCTGCGACTGCAGTTAATGGGAATTTAAAGAAAATAAGCCTGTTAATCAGTTGGTCTCTTGTTGCCTTGAGATTTATTTTTATGCCGATCACAGGAATTATAAACTGTGAAGGTAGGGACTTTGTTTCAGGCCCCACTGTAGCCTCAGTGCCTGGAAGAACACAGTACGTGGGGCGCCTGGGTGGCTTAGTCAGTTAAGCATCCGACTTTCACTTAGGTCATGATCTCGCGGTTCGTGGGTTCGAGCCCTGCGTCAGGCTCTGTGCTGACTGCCAGCTCAGAGCCTGGAGCCAATTTCAGAGTCTGTATCTCCCTCTCTCTCTGACCCTACCCTGCTCACGCTGTCTCTCTCTCTCTCTCCTAGAAACAAATAAAAAAATTAAAAAAAAAAAAAAGAACACAGTACGTATTTCCACAATAAGCCAAGAGGAAGTGTGGACATATTCAGGGAGGTGGTAAGTCCAGTCCAGGCCCTGAAACTGCTAAGTACTAGGAAAATCCATTTACAAGTACAGAAATAGAAGCCTGGAAAGATCAAAGGACTCACCCAAGGTCCCACAGTAGGTAGGAGAAAGAGCTGGAACTGCGTTCCACGATTAGTTTTCTTCCCCAAAGGATAGAAAATCAGGTACGGAATAGCATAAGCCCAAAGATATTTAGAAGGACTCTCAAACCAGTGCTCTCTTCTGGCAACGAAGTCTGCCCCTCCCCTAGCTCATTTGGAGAAGCGAAAATAAAAATAACTGCTCTTCATTAAAGCATGGCTGTGCACAGGAAGATTTGGAGACGTTGTCTCCTCTCTTTGTCACTTAGGAGGTAGGGGGTACAATGCCTTCCATTTTCTGGGAATCAGATGTACGAGGTGTCTTGGGTCAGGGGCACACAGCCGGTGAGTAAGAGGAGGTCAAGATGAGAGGCCTTCTCAAGTAAGGCCCATGTAACTGCAAATGCCATGTTCCTTAACCTCTCCCTCAAAGCTGCTGTGACACCCAGCAGTGTCCACTGGGTGGGCGTTGAAACTCAGGCAGCTGGAATTGCTTTTTCTCTTCCTCCTTGGCTTCCTCATTTAGAGGATTGGTTTCTAGGCTACGCTGTGCTACAGACTATCCACAGCTTAAACTTTTATATAGTTAATATCCCCAAGAGCAACTAATTTGTGTTGGAAGCTGGCTGAATATCAGGTACTGTATTCAGTGCTTTACATGATCTGTGACATCTGCCATTACTTTCCACTGCCTTTGCTGAATGAACTGATGCAGGATACTTGAGGATCCTTACACAGGATCTCTGACGACAGCTTTGCCCCAGCCAAGCTGTGGATTTGAAGGGCGGGAGATGAATGAAACCAGGAAAAAGAAAACCATCGCCTCCTAGCAAAACCAGTATTTCGTAACCTTTTGGGGGGTGTTTGGACCCCCGTTGGAGAATTTGATGAAAATTTTGGACTTATTCCCTGGGGAAAAATATCCAGTAGTACATAGAAAATATTGCTAGAGTTCATAAGAGTATGTGTCTCATTCACCACCCCCTGAGGCCCAAACCAGGAAAAAGTATCTTAATGTTTTTTTTTAAATTTTTAAATTTATTTCTAGGAGAGAGAGAGAGAGAGAGACAGCGTGAGCAGGGGAGGGTCAGAGAGAGAGGGAGTCACAGACTGAAACAGGCTCCAGGCTCTGAGCTGGCAGTCAGCACAGAGCCCGACACGGGGCTCGAACCCACAAACCGCGAGATCATGACCTAAGCGAAAGTCGGATGCTTAACCGACTAAGCCACCCAGGCGCCCCCAGGAACAAGTATTTTAAATGTTCCTGCTCCATGTTGTAATTGTTCCCAAATGTTTTAGCCTTCTGAACTGTTGAGGGTTTGATTTTCTGAGAGCTCTCCCCATGTGCTGTAGTTTAAAATTCTGTCTAGGGGCGCCTGGGTGGCTTAGTCTGAGGGTCTGACTCTTGATTTCAGCTCAGGTCATGATCCCAGGGTTGTGGGATCGAGCCCCATGTTGGGCTCTGCGCTGAGCATGGAGCCTGCTTAAGATTCTCTCTCTCTCTCTCTCTCTCTCTCTCTCTCTCTCGATCTCAAAAAATTAAAAAAATACAAATAAATAAAATTCTGTCTGGACAAGGCTGACAGATGTGACTTATTTTGAGAGTTGGCGTGAAACAACAAGAAACAAAGTATGTGTTAGGATTCTTTAAGACTTTTGTAGCCACATCATTCAAGGTTACACTTAAGAGGATGTCCGAAGGAGGGTTGAAGTAAAATAAAGTGGGAAATGGAAGTCATTACTGAGATAATTCAGGACAAAAAAATTGTTCTTAATTTGCGTTTTTAGGGAAATATTAAACATATTCCAGGAATATACAGGCCTTCTGTGAACTGCCCTCTGGCTACCCATCCCAACTCATGCCCCCGTCCCCTCTGCCCCCGCCCTCTCTCTCGGCCCCAATCACTCTGGCCCCTTCTCTCCTCTGAGGGTTCCAAGTGTGCTTCTACTTCTGGGCACCTGCCTGCTGTTGCCTCTCCAGGAACATTCTTTTTCCAGACAGGATCCCTCATGGGACTCAACGTCTGCTCTAGGACCCTCCTCGGAGCTCCTCTCCTGACCACTCCCCCCACCTTGATTTAATTTCATCATCACACATACCACCCCCCCTCCCCCGCGCCCTGGCATCATGTTATAAATTTAAATTTTGGCATCTTGTGCACCAAGGAATTTTTCTTGCATTGATCATGACTTTTAAAATATTGCATCAAAATAAAATGTATCTTGGTTACTAGGTTTTCAGGGACCCCCTTACATTTTGCATTCAAGGAGAACGCCTCACCCACCTCACCTCTTCTGGCCCTGAAGGGGCCAGCGGGAAGGAAGGCTGCTCGATGGTGCAGAATGTGTTTTGTCCCCTGCGGTATCGCTCGCGCTCAGCAGAGGCCTGATGAAGAGGTGATGCTCAATAAACATTTGTTCCGTGAATAAATGAAAGGAAAAAGGCATTAGCAATCAGCTTCCACAAACGGGGAGACTTTTGTAAATGGGCAGCTTTGGGAGAGCTGGATGCATACTTGGGGAGAATATCAAATTTTAAAAAGATGTTTTGTATCTAAAGCAAAAAAAAAGGACAGTTAGTTGCCCCCAAACCAGAAATACGGCTCCCCGGTGCTTGTCACACTGGAAGACCTCTTAACTAGGCTCCTCACCACTTCCATCCTCCTGAACAAATTTAACTTAATTGAGGTCAAGTTGCTGTCACCACGGATGCCACCACACCACCCACTGTTTCCTCTTCCTACCTTGAAAGGAAGCAGTACAGAATTCTGGGCATTAAAGAAAACTACTTAGCAAGACGTTGCTAAAAGGTTAAAAAAAAAAAAGTGATATTATTCTACTTTTAAATGTTTTTCAGAAGTAATTGTCCTATTGAATTAGTGGAAACTCATCCCACAACTCTCTTAAAAAAAAAAAAGGGGGAAGGAAACACATTTAGCTAACAGCAGCAGTTTTCAATTATTTTAAAACCAATGGTTTTGTACTTTGTCAACAAAAGTCCTTGGTTTGAACCCATCTCAAATATATATATAGATATAATATAAATGTATAAATTATATAAAATATAAAAATATAGCAACATATATTTATATATGTATATAAATACATATATACATATTATGTATTTATGTATGTTTATATACACACATATACAGACAAAAATAGACAAATATATCTCCATATGTATTTAAATTTCTATTTATTTATTATTTTAGAGGAGAGAGAACAGGGGAAAGAGGCAGAGAGAGAGAGAGAGAGAGAGAGAGAGAGAGAGAGAGAATTCTAAGCAGGCTCCATGCTCAGCATTGAGCCCAATGTGGGGTTTAATCCCATGACCCTGGGATCATGACCTGAGCTGAAGTCAAGAGTCAGATGCTCAACTGACTGAGTCACCCAGGCGCCTCAACCATGTATGTTTCTCTGCTTGTGCACACATATGTCTGTAGAATTGTGTAAGCAACGGGGATCTGTTGATTACCCTGTTACAGCCTCTCACTTATGAAGGACTGAATGAATTAAAACATCTAAAGCATTAGAACAGGATCTGGAATGTAGTAATCATTTAATAAATACATACTGCTGTTTTTACTATTGTGCAAAAATAATCTTGCTCGCCGGCGTAAACGCCCATTGGTGCCTCCCTGCACCACCCCTCCTTCTTCCAACCACATTCCTGACTTGGGTCGGGGCCCCCGTTGGGACACAACTTTCCAGGCTCTCTTGCGTTTCTGTATGTCCTCTGAGCAGAGGCACTGACGGCATTTTGTTCCGGATTACCTCTTCTCGATGGTTTTTAGCCAACACCCTTGGAAGAGAGAGGTAACGTCTCCCTCCAGAGCAGAAAGAGAGCCTTGTCTGGTAGACATAAAGTAGAATAAAGGTAATGTTTCCCTCTGAGGCAAAACTTGGCCAGGTTTGTGCAGAGGCCGTTATAAAAGACCGGGACTGCCTACGCTCAGAGTTCTTTGGCTTTGACACAATCACCTGCACCCTCCTTTGCTTTGCCCCTGGACTTGGGGTAAGGTGGGAAGAAATAAAGGTGAAGCACAAACTGCTTGCGATGCTATGAGGAAACTCCTTTGTGTGCAGAAGAGGTGACATAGCCCACCTGAATCGTATCCTTAGAAAGGCTGGCTTGTGAGATTGGCCTTCGATTGTTTATAAAAACTTGCATTTGAGGAGGGTCCCTACCATCCCCAGAGTTGATAGGAACGGGTCAATCTGCCTAAACTGTTCATACAAAGAGTGTACTTTATGCTGCACACGTGCTTTCCTTCTGGGAGCCTGGGGTTTGGGGGAAATGCGGTGGAGAGGCTGCTGACCGCAGAACCCCTGGGTGTGAATCTCTCGTGAGCTTTCCTGGCTGGCAGCATCGCACGTGTGCTGTCACAACTTGTTGCTGGGGGAGTGAGAAGTGTCCTGTGTGATCACGGGGACAGGACTGTTGGCCACTTGAGCCTGGTGTCCTTTGTTCCGCACTCTCTGAGCCGTTTCCTTTGCTGGCTCCTTTCACTGCAACGGGTTGTAGCCATGACTGCCAACATAATGCTGTCTTGGAATTCCTCCTAGCGAAACATTGGACTTGGGGGTGATTTGGGGGACCCCAGACATCACCTCTGATGCCAGAGCCTGTGTCTTCTCTCAGCATCCATGAAACTGACAGACTAACTTGTTAATTAAAAGCAGGGGGATCTCAGACATATGATGGTTCTTGGGAGAGCTATTCTTTTCCCTCTCTCTGGACACATGGGAGCATGTGTGTGTGTGCATGTGTGTGTACATGTGGGTGAATCCCATCTAGGTCAGCCTGGGTATTCCATGTCCTGATTGTCGTGGGTTTTAGAGGCAGGCACCTGCTCTAAGCCAGCCCAAGCAGAATCAAACCACTTTCTCCTCCTTTGGCTACAAACCAAGGACATAACCTGGGAAGCCACCTTGCAATCATGAACGTTAACATAGAGTAAGTGGCACTGAGAAACCGGGCGCCCACACCAGCCAGCCTTGAAGCCAGTCTGCCCCTGGGCTACTTTAAGATACTTGAGTCAATAAATTTCCTTTATTGCTTAAGAAAGATTGGATATGGTTTTTGATGGCTTCCAAAGGAAAGAGTTCTAACTGATACAGATCACAGCTGTTCAAAGAATGGGGCCTCTCTGTGCTAGTGTAGAGAACCCAGAAAGCCCCACAAAGATGCAATCCTCCTTCAGGGACCCTAAGAGTAACTGGGTGAAAATAACCAGCCTTCTAGCAGCCAACACTCTAGAAGTGCTGACCACGTGCAGAGCAGCAGACAGGAACTGGATCTGGTGACATTTTGGGTGACTTCCAGGCTGGGGATGCTGTTTCCGGGCTACAACAGGCATTTAGTGGCTGAGATGTGCAGGGGGAGATGCAGACCTTCGCTTGAGGTGGAGATGCTGTAACCATAGCAAGATGAGCTGAAGCCCCAGCTGCAAGGAGAGGAAGAGGAGGTGGTTTGATTTAAGAGGAGCTCTCTGCAGCACTTTCAGATCTGCACCCAGCAGTGGGGGTCCTGTCCGCGCCACACCTGCCTGTACCACCACGAGGGACAGCTTTGCGTTTCCCGTGCTAGCCTTGTGCACGAGCACTTGGCCTCTACAGCGGCTCCCTGCACCCTTTGGGGAGAAGCATGTGAATAAGAGAAGTAAATGTTGGAGGCTTTGCTTTGGTACCAGAGCCTGGATGACATGGATCAACAACTCTTCCAAGGAAAGGGTTGCTGCAAAGGATGTTCTGATTCATAGTTATATCTACGTAACATTCTAAATGGTAACAGATTTGAGACTGTTGCAGTATAAGCCTTTTCTAATTGAGTCTGCTGAATTTATCAACACAGTACCTATTATATACAAAATAAATAAGGAACCCAACAGAACATGTCATGTTGTGAATATAACGTGCACTCTTTAGCTTGGTTAAAGCAAATATATACATAGTGTAAGAGGCAAATACCTGATTTGTACCAAAGCTTACAGAATTAAGTCAGTCCAAAATGAAAAACAGAACATTTGTTAACGGATGTGATAGAAATTGATCATTTGAAAATAAGTCTCTCCTCTTTTATTTTCTCCCTAGCACCTGATACATTGTATACGTATTTCTCCATCATGTGTCCCTCTCCCCACTAGATTGTAAGCTCCCTGAGGTCAAGGGCTCTGATTCTCTGCTATATGCCCAGCACCTAGAATCTGACATATAGTACATGCCCAATAAATAAGTGTTGAATGAATGACTTTAAGACAGACATACATTCAGCCAACAGAAAATTGGTTTCTACAACGTCACTTGGTACACTGACCCCACATGTTATGCTAAAACCTTATCGAGGTCCTTACTTAATACCTGGCTCTCTGTGGGATAAGTCAATGTCCTGGGGTTGCTTAGCTACTTGATAGTACCAGCTTTGGCCACCGTGGCTGTTTCTACCCGTCACTGTGTCCCCCAGCTGGCTTTTTCCGGACAGAGCTGCACGGATGTGAACTGGCAAAGCTGAAGCTAAGAGGTTAACGGGGAGAAGGAGGAGGAAGGAGGCTCATTCCAGCGCCCCCCTGAATTGCCGAGTGTGCTGCTCTAGCTTCCGGGCCTCGGCCTGGAGGTGCCCCAGGGCTGCCGGGCTGGGGTACTTGAGCACAGCGTTCTTGGTGGCCAGCGCGAGGTTCTTGAGCAGGCTGCAAAGGTAGCTGCTGCCGCAGAGAATGTCATTGCGTGCGTCCCTCTCCTGGGTCTCCTGACACAATGTGTCCACCAGCTTCTGCCCTACCATGATGACCAGCTTGCTCTGCGTGATGAAGATCTCGGGGGGCTGGCTGTTGCTCAGGCTGTTGTTAAATACGCCGATGGCTTTGAAGAGGGCCCCAAAATAGAGCCGGCAGTGTTCGGAAAGGTGGAATCTCTTCTCAGGGTTCTGCTGACTCAGAGGCCGGGTTGTGGGAAAGCAAAGGTTCTGGAAAAGGGAAGAAAATAATTGATCAGAGGCAGATTTGATCACCAGGCTGTGGCTGTCTCCCTTTTCCTGTTTTGCTCAATGTTCTAGACACGGGTAAGCAAAAGTACAGTTTTGGGTAGGAAGCCCCACAGCGGGCCATTTGCTTAACAAATTAATGTTTCCAAAGCAGTATTACATACAAAGTATGGTATTTATATATGCAATGGTATATATTGCATTGTATATATAATCTTACATGTTAAATATATAAACTCTTATTCAATATTCTCAACAAACCACTAGAAGCCCATTCTAAGAAGCAAATTGACAGGTGCGCCTGGGTGGCTCAGTTGGTTAAGCGTCCGACTTTGGCTCAGGTCATGACCCCACAGTCTGTGGGTTCGAGCCCCACATCGGTCTCTGTGCTGACAGTGTGGAGCCTGCTTGGGATTCTCCCTCTCTCTTTGCCCCTCTCCCTGCTGGCACCATCTCCATCTCTCTCAAATTAAATAAATGAATTAAGAAAAAAAACCCCACATTGACAATGAATAAATCTATAACTGTAAAAAAATGAAAGGGGGCGCCTGCGTGGCTCAGTTGGTTAAGCATCTGACTTCTGCTCAGGTCATGATCTCATGGTTTGTGAGTTCGAAACCCGCCTTGGGCTCTGTGCTGACAGCTCAGAGCCTGGAGCTGGTTCAGATTCTGTGTCTCCCTCTCTCTCTGCCTCTCCCCCACTCACACTCTGTCTCTCAAAAATTAACATTAAAAAAATTTTTTAAATGCAAGAAAACTTGATAATGAGATCTAAAAATTTACTCAAAGAATGAACTTTAAAGGATTAAAAAAATCCTTCTTAATACCAGCATCAGCAATAAACCTGATTCCCTCCAGAATTTCTGGAAGAAATCCAAATATGCTGACCTATCTGCCCTAATATTATAATATTTCTCTAACTTGCTAATAAGGTTTCATATAGAGTTTTCCTTTCATGAGTTTTAGTTTCTAAAATATGCAACCAATGTCTTCCCAGAGCTTAGGCAGTATCAAAAGATTCTCTCACTTAGTGGCCACCATTGGAGGGGACAATCAAAAGCCCCTTTGTTAGGTTACAGGTGGGGAGATTGATGCTCCCTGAAGGAGAAGGGCTGCCCATCTTCATTCATTTAGCAAAATAAAGATCTGGAACTCTAGGCTGAGTCAGCTAAGCCTGAATGTCTCAGTCTTTTCATTAAACTGCAGGCTCGCTCATCCACCTGTGATCTCAAAGCTCACAGCTGGAAGGACTCAGTGTCAGGGTCCGACTTCATATGTGGAACCCTACCCACTAAGGTGAAGGTAGTAGATAGGACATGGGCCCTTGGGAGGCAACTGGGATTAGATGAGGTCATTTGGGTGGGGCCCCGTGATGGGATTAGTGCCCTTGGATTCGCTTCCTTTCTCTGCTCCCTGCCTTGCGAGGACACAATGAGGTCAGAGAAGCGCCCTCACCAGGACGTGCCCGTGCTGGCACCCTGGTCTCAGACTTCAGCCTAGGCTTCTTGTCCCGGTTTGCCCCCGAGATGACAAATGATCTTGTCCATGTCGTCAGACATCTCTGTCCTTCTCTCTTCCACTTGCACCTCCCCCCCCCCCCGCCCCCCCCCCCCGGAGCTGGTCTAGTTTGCTGTTCCCCAGGCTTCAGATATGCAGACAGCCTGCACAGGTGATTCCCTGTTTGCCTCCTTTTTTATTTTTATTTTTTANGCCAGGGAGCTGGTCTAGTTTGCTGTTCCCCAGGCTTCAGATATGCAGACAGCCTGCACAGGTGATTCCCTGTTTGCCTCCTTTTTTATTTTTATTTTTTAATGTTTTATTTATTTCTGAGAGAGAGACAGTGTGAGCAGGGGAGGGTCAGAGAGAGAGGGAGACACAGAATCTGTAACAGGCTCCAGGCTCTGAGCTGTTAGCACAGAGCCCAATGCGGGGCTCGAACCCATGAACCATGAGATCATGACCTGAGCCGAAGTCAGACGCTTAACCGACTGAGCCACCCAGGTGTCCCCGTTTGCCTGCTGTTGGCACCTTGACTTGCTTCATCTTTGTCTTGAAAGGAATCCCCACTGGGTTCACTTCTATCACTTTAAAGGAAACTTTTCAAATTGGTAACTGGAAAACCACTGTCATTGGCCACTGGTAGGAAGGAACAAAACAAAATAAGCACAATGATAACATCTTTGAATGTTTTTTTTTAAAAAGGAAGAACATCAAGTGTCAAAGAGGTGTGGATGACAAGCCCCAAACCAAAAACGGTTTTCCTGTTGTAATCAAAAGCCTTGAAAGAGAACACAGAAGGGAATGTGTATCCGTGGTATTCATGGTATCCAACACTGGATCAGTCCCGCCCATGATGGACAGTGAGAACTGTCACTCATGGTTCAAGGATCATGCTCCACATGCTGGGTTCATTGGGCTTGTTCATCTCCAAGGCTCCTTCTACTGCAAATAGGAAAAACCATCACAAAAACCACATCTACTCCCAAGGGGGTCATGGGTCGTAGCTATCGTGCTGACTTGTTCATAGCAGGAGGCATCTCTGGGGATAAAGCATGTGAGTCAGAAACACTGGCAAGTCAGCGCTATCACTTACCTGGGCTTCCAGGTTTTTATTTTCATCCAACCTTTGTTCTGAGATGGGGTTTTCTGTCTCTTCTAGATCAGGCAACTTCTGAAAAGGAAAATCCTTTCTAATTACCAACTTGAGTGGTTTTGACACTGTTCAGAGGTGTTTAAGTCTACTTTAAAATGTGAGCATTTTGGGGTGCTTGGGTGGCTGAATTGGTTAAGCGGCTGACTTTGGCTCAGGTCATAACCTCACGGTTTCTGAATTCAAGCCTCGCATTTGGGTCTGTGCTGACAGCTCAGAGCCTGGAGCCTGCTTCGGATTTCGTGTCTTCCTCTCTCTCTGTCCCTCCCCCACTCGTGCTCTGTCTCTCAAAAATAAACAAATATTAAAAAAATTTAAATAAAATCTGAGCATTTTGGGGTGCCTGGGTGGCTCGGTAGGTTAAGCATCAGGTCACGATCTCACAGTTTGTGGGTCCGTGCCCTACTGGGCTCTGTGCTGACAGCTCAGAGTCTGGAGCCTGATTCGGATTCTGTGTGTCTCTCTCTCTCTGCCATCTCCTCTCATGCTCTTTCTCTCTCAAAAATAATAAACATTACAAAAAAACTTGAGCATTTCTCCTTATATTTTTGTTAATAGTTTTGCCCCCTGATGTGTTTTTTTTTTCAACAAAGGAGACTTTGCAAGACCAAGGGCTGAATTATGCCTACCAACATGGCCTGATATGAGAACACATAGTTAAAAAAAATTATATATATTTATACTTACATATTTTATACCTCTTTATATCTATACTTTTAAAATAGGGAATGAAGGGCGCCTGGGTGGCTCAGCCGGTTAAGCCTCCAACTTCGGCTCAGGTCATGATCTCATGGTTAGTGGGTTCAAGCCCCGTGTCAGGCTCTGTGCCGACAGCTAGCTCAGAGTCTGGAGCCTGTTTCAGATTCTGTGTCTCCCTCTCTCTTTGACCCTGCTCATGCTGTCTGTCTGTCTGTCTCTCTCTCTCTCTCTCTAAGAAATAAATAAAACATTTAAAAAAATAGGGAATGAAAAATACCCAGGTTTCTATCTTCTCTAGAATGTGTTAAAGCTCTTCTGCCAACCACCAGGCATTTTGACAGAATATCACACAAGATTGGGGCAGAAAGGGGCCAGGTCATGTTGACACAGCCCCCAGGTTACCTGCTGCCCTTGAGACTCACAATCCTTGAGCCAAAGGCTCTTTCTCTATAGTGTCTGAATTCACGAAGCCCAGTATTTGTAACAGTAAGTGCAGGCTGGAGGCTGCTAAGAACATACATGATTCGGAAGAGTGTTTACGCTTCCTCTTCTGTTTCTAAGAAACACAGAGACGATGATTAAATCTACAGCTTTCAAAAATGCAAGGAAATTCAGTGGTGAGGTTAAAAAATGTGCTCAAAGAACGGATTTCAAAAGGGTTTCAAAGTCCTTTCTAACCCTAGTGTTAGAGATAAACAGCAAGATACCACATTTCCGGAAGACGTCCTATCTGCCTTAATATTAAAATGCTTATCTTACTTCTTAATAAGATTTCATCTAGAAAGGTACTTTCATGAATTTTCTTTTCTGGAAAGTGGAACCAATGCCTCTCAGAAATTATCGAAAGAGTATCATCATTCAATACATGATTACTGAACCGTAGCTAACAATTATCGAAGGACCCTCAGCATCTAGCTGATGGGTGACCGCTCCAGATAAAACTTGAAGAGCTCCTTGTGTTCTGTCACTCTGAACTCACCTGTTCACAGACATTCGTCCCGTTTTTCTTTAGTATTTCAGGGGACTGTTCCTCTTCCTTCTGTTTACTAAAAGGAGCGCTTCTTTGATATGATTCTGTTTCTCTTTGGGGAAGCTGGGTGTATTCTGCAAACTTAAATTGTGCATTTGGGGTCATTTGCAAGGTATCTTCCTTTTCACAGTTCTGCCTGAAAAGGAGCTTTCCGTTGGCAATGACAATGGAGGCAAACCTCTTGACGTCTTCCGGAACCATCCGCGCCGCCATGACAAATCTCTCGAGGTCATCTGGGCTGTTTTGGACTTTGTCCGTCACAAGGACTTCCAAGGACCAATTGCAGCCATCCAAGCTCTCCTTTGTTCCAAGCAGGACTTGGTAGCAGTTGGAGATTGTCTGCAGCTGGTCCCTAATTCTGGCCTGAAGGTTGGTGTCACTGAGGTTGCAGGCGGTCCCACGGACCGCACGGGCAAAATCCAGGAATGCCCTCAAAGACTCCTCCACATGGTCGGCGGCCCTGCGGATGCCACTGATGTTGGCCTCCAGGTAGTCTCGGAACCTCCACTTCCTGCTGACAAAGAGCATCAGGCTTGCAACAGAGCTGGCCACCTTGTGCTGCAGAGCCGCCACTGTCTCTCTGGCCAAGTCCAGGTCCAAGCACAGCTCCCTTCCTGACTCCTCTGAGCAGGCGCTGGACGAGGAGTCCGTGGACGTGGAGGAGCAGGAGGAGACAATGCTGGCTCTGCTGTCGGAACTGGAAACAGACAGGCTGTCCGGTTCCGGAGACAGGGAAGGCGGCTGTCTGGAGAGCCACGAGGAGCCACGGTCCGTGCCATTCTCTGAAGCCCCATCCGCTCTCCCCAGCTCGTTCTGGGCCCGAGGGCCACTCGGCGTTGCTTTAGGGATGTCATAAATGTTTGGCTTGGTGTTCTGCTGTTCCCCCTGGGGAATCAGAAAGCTGGAGGGAACCTTGTAGCCGACACCTTCGTCCAAGGGAAACGTGTCCCTCGGGGCCAGACATTTATAGGTAGGAATTTCTGGAAGGCTGAGTTTTTTCTGCATGGGCACATTTTTATGCAGGTGTGGATCGAGGGATCTTGCTCTGCTATCTGGAGGACAGTGGATGCCGTACGTATACGTGGGGGGAGTGTGGGGCGCTGATCTTCCCACGAAGCTGCTTAGAGACGCATTTCTCGTATTAGCTTTTTCTGGAGATACTGGCGTGTCATAAATCCATTCAGATTTCTGAGGGCTCGGTAACGTGTTGTAGCCACCGTGCCTCAAGGTGATCGCTGACGTCAGGGGAGCACTCTGCCCCTGGGGAGAACCAAACGATATTGCCCAGGTTAGTAGCAATAAAGAGAGGGTGTGAGCCACTCCTTTGACAAACGTGTGTTACACTGAGGACCTACTAAGTGCTGGGAACTGTGCTTCTTAAAAATCGGAACTCCCCAACTCAAGCCTCTTCACGGGCTCCCCATTGCCAGTTTTGCTCAAGGCCCTTTCTAATCTGGTTGTACCTGCCTTTGAGCCTCCGCAACATGCCTGTGGGTCCAGTCACCCAGGCTGTTGACTCAGAGTGCTCCCTTAGTCCACTACATTTCATTTTGCCCACACCAGTCCCGTTCTAAAAGCCCTCCCAAACCTTTCCTTTCCATCTAACAAACTCCTATGCATCCCCTCATGACCCTGCAGAGATGGCCCTTATTTTATAAGACCTTCCCCAATAACCTTGAGTATATGTATATCCACTGTATACATGTGACAGAATTCAATGGTGAACACAAGTTCCAGATTTTAAAATTAACGCATCTGTCCAATAAATAAAAACCTACTTTAATACATCTGTGAGGTATATAATAATAAGCATTTAACTAAGACCTACTGAGCTTTTGCTCCGTGCCAAGCACTGTGGTAGGTTCCCCTGCCGGAATACCTCAATTCTCACAATTGCTCACAAAGGAGCAAGAGCCAGACGGGAAGTAGGGAGGGGTGAGGGGAGCATCTCGGGTGAGGCTGTCTGTCATAAGAAACTGAGGCACAGAGACACTGGAGGACTCGCCCGAGGCACAGCGTTCACCCTGTCCCTGGACATAACCGCCATCAAGGGGTTCAAATGAAATACGTTCTGCTGTGAGGAACTTGCAGTCCTAATTTTGAGCAGGCTGGTGGAACGTCTTGGAGGATGCTCGCATTTTCTTAGCCACGAATCTCTGCGCCTCACCGTACTTACACCCAGTTGGCTGGCCAGGGGCCCAAGTCCTGCCCTTTTGGGGCTGGCGGGTACGTCGTACAACTGCTGCTTCTCTGGCTCCTGGGGAAAGACGGAAAGGATGAATTGGATTTTTCCCTCCCGATGGACGTATACCCCCGACTCTGCCCACTCCAGGGCTTTTTCCAAATGAAAACACCAACCACGGAAGACTCTGGGGCTTCCGGTGTGATGCTTGCAAGATGGAGGTTTACTGGTTATGTGTTCAACAAAGGGCTTTGCGCTTTAAAAAGATCTCCTTCTCCTTCGAAGATAGGGACAAACTATAGAGAGAATGATCTGTGGTTGCCCGACTTAACACCGGTGGCTCGTTTAGTTCTGCAAGTTACCCTCAGACTTGACATTAAGGGGAAATTGGGACTTCGTGGGGCGCCTGGGGAGGGGGGGGGAGGTCAGTCGGTTGAGCGTCGGACTTCAGCGCCGGTCATGATCTTACGGTTCGTGAGTTCGAGTCCCGCAACTGGCTCTGTGCTGACAGCTCAGAGCCTGGAGCCCGCTGGGGATTCTGTGTCTCCCTCTCTCTCTGCCCCTCACCCGATTGTGCTCTGTCTCTCTTTCAAAAATAAATAAACATTAAAAAAGGAGTGAGGGTGGAGAGGGCCAGGGTGAGGTGAGTGAGGGAAGCGAGTCCTGCACACGGGTCTTTAATCTAAGACTTCCGTGCCCAGGCCGGCGCCTCCGCGCCCTCGCGCCCCGCGGCCCTGCCCGTGCTCCGGCAGCTGTCACGCGGAGGGAGCGAGCGTCGTCCAGGGCCCAGAGGTGGTCACACCGGAACTGCCGCAAGAGCCGGACCGGAAGTGGGGGCGGGGGAGCCTCCTGGGAGGCGGAGCCCGGGGAGGAGCCGTGAACAGGCACCGGCCCGCCTCGGAGCCTGCAGGTAGGGGAGGCGGTGGCGCCTGCGGGGACGCGGAAGGCCGTCTGTGTGCGGGGCGGGCGTCACGCGTGGGGCAGGGACCCAGCCGAGACTCACCTTTGGCATCAGGGGACCCCGGCCCTGGGTGGGCACGTCATACACCCCGGAAGGCAGAGCCGGCAGCGAGGCCCGAGGCCTGGGAACCGTGAAGAGGGCCTGGGGGGAAAAAGAAGAGCCGCGGGGAGGAGATGTCACCGTGGGTCCGCAGGTCGCCTTCCGAGTTACCCTCCCTCAGCAAAGCAGCCCCCGCAGCGTGGGGGCTTCTCCCTGCTCCCCTAAGGCGGCTGTTTGCTCAGACAGGGGGCCCAGGACGGGACGCGGGAGGACCGTGGTGGGGGCAGCCTTCCGCCTGCATCAGCCTCAGCTGGGAGGCGGGTTAGAATGCAGATTCCTGGGCCCTGACTCCGTTGTTCTGAGTCTCTGAGTCCTGCCTGGGAGGACTCCCTAGGGATCCGAGGCTGTGATACGAATCCAGGGTTATTAATGTGCTCATCTCATGATGCGGAGGATGTAGCCATGAGCCAGACCTGCAGAGTCGCTCGAAGGGTGTAAAGGGAAGGGACTGTCATGGGTGTGGAGGGGGCAGGGACGAGTGGCAGGATGTGTCGCTCAAGCTGAGGGCTGATGGGGCCGCAGGAGGTGACCAGACCAATGGTGGCGTGGAGTCACCGATTCCCAGAGGATGGCCACGCTAGACCCGCTACCCTCTGGCTGCTCCCGGACAGCCGCTTCCAAACCCCGCCAGGGAACCAGTCATGTGGCCGAACCCGGGGAACCCAGGGAACCAGTCACCTGGCCAACTTTAAAATAATACAGTTGCAGGGCTTCCACGTCAGAGCCCTCAAAAGAATGTCCCCAGGAGGGGCCCAGGAATGGGTGATTTTACAAGGGAGTGGATGCTGTCTGCCAGGGTCAAGGTCTAAAGGGGGAAAAAGGTATGGACAGAGCCAGGACACAGGCTGAAAAGCGAGACAGGGCCTTGAGGAGGGGAAAAGGTCAAGTCCAGAGAGTCCGTCAGAGGCAGACTGCACTTCCAATCGGGCACCCTGGAACCTGTCGCTGAAGGGGGCTTTCCGAATTGGATCGTGTGGATGGTTAGGACCTGAATCTGCAGTGACTGGGAGGGCAGTCCAGTCTGGCGAGGGACCAGATCAGGGTCCCTTTGTTGACAAAAGTGACCCAGCTCTGTGCCTGGCATGAAGTAAGTGCTCGTAATTACTTATTTATTTGCCCGGTTTGGGTGAAAGAATGTGTACATCCTGAGACAGTAGGTCCTAAGCCTCCCCCCACTCATCAGGCTAGAGTAACAGATTCGGATAAAGCAGCTGTAAAACATACGGGACAAACCGTTCTCCCCAGGACACACTCAGCTGTCAAAGTAACGTCCTTCTGAACGACAACTGTTTGTTACTCAGAGAAACCCGGTTCAGTAAAGCCCTGGGCTCCCAGGAGCACTGTGGTCTGAAGCTCTAGCAGCGAGAAGGAAGCATCCTCCTCTCGGAGAGGCAGGCTCGCTTTCCAGCCCCAACGCAGAGCTTCGGACGGGGGTGGGGGGATTGTAGGTGCCACGTTCCACCTCTACCTCAATCTGGAGGTTCCCAAGGAAGGAGCAGCCCCCGCCAGCTTTGCAGTCTGGGCGGATGCTGACCCTTTAGACACTGCCCTGTTTTGCTTGGAGCCTATCAAGACAGGCTTTGTTTACACCAAACCCCACCTGTCCCCATAACTAATTATCTGCTTTATTCTGCTTGTGAGGTGCCCCGTGGTCCCTATGTGTTGTGACCCCTTTCTCTCCGGTGGGGCAATAAACCTGACTCTGTCCCTGCTAGTCTCAGGCTGATTGGTCTAGGAGAGTGGTTCTCCACTGCAGTTTGGGTTAAAACCAAGATTCCACAGGCCTGCTAACCACAGGGACCATGCACGGTGTGTCCCCAGCCACTCCATCTGACATCACCTCCACTCTCCCTTCCTCCTGCCTCTACTTATTCTAACACCCCAAGCCCTCCCCTACCAGAGAGCTTTTCCAGACTCTTCCATTTCCTATTACCCCCTGTAGCCCCAAGCCCCATTTTATTTATGTAGCTGACTTTGCGTGTCATAGGTGCCTTTAAGACCACACACAGAGAACAAAGGGACTTTCCTGCCTATAGAATTTCAGGCGGAGGAAGCTGGGTCAGAAATGCTTGTGTTTCTTGGAAAACATAGGTTCAAGGTGGTAATCAGTTAAGGAACATGCCTGAGAAATCCGATTTCTAAAGCTCTGGGGGGACCGACAGAAACTCCAGTTCAGGAACTAGTGGGTCCGAGAGGAATTCCATCAGGAAGTTGGACCCTTTCCACTTGAAATATGAAAGATTCCGCTTTCTGAATTCGAACCAACATCAGATATGTTCTTTATATGGTGATTAGAAAAAAAAAAAAAGTCAGGCTAGACTATTATATTGAGGAAGTTGGAATAAAAAGTAAAACAAAGCTCCAGAGAGTGGTAACTCTGGAGGAAGTGACTTGGAGAAGGTGGGGGAGGGGCGACTCAGGAGGTGCTAGTTTTGTTCTATTTCTTGATTTGGATACTAGTGACTAAGATGACCTTTAGGAGCTGTGGATTAAACCTCAATAAAAAACTAATGGAGGGCACCAGGGTGGCTCAGTCGGTTATGCGTCCGACTTCGGCTCAAGTCATGGTCTCATGGTTTGTGAGTTTGAGCTTTCTGCTGTCGGCACAGACCCTGCTTCGGATCCTCTGTTCCCCTCTCTTTCTGCCCTTCCCCAGATCATTCTCTCTCTCTCTCTCTCTCAAAAACAAATAAACTTAGGGGCACCTGGGTGGCTTAGTCGGTTAAGCGTCCGACTTTCGCTTAGGTCATGATCTCGCGGTTTGTGGGTTCGAGCCCCGTGTCGGGCTTTGTGCTGACTGCCAGCTCAGAGCCTGGAGCCTATTTCAGAGTCTGTGACTCCCTCTCTCTCTGACCCTCCCCTGCTCACGCTGTCTCTCTCTCTTTCTCTCCTAGAAATAAAATAAAAAATATTAAAAAAAAAAAACAAACTTAAAAAAAAAAAGCTAAAGAACAGAGAGTGTCAGCCACAGAGCCAGGAAAACAGAGAACAAGGGCATGCAAAGTCTAGGGACATAAACAGCCCCACACACAGACAGGCACAGAGAAGCTTCAGCCTCTGGTATTCGACACCCTGGGATTCTGGACGGGTCATTTCACCTCCCTGGAAATGAATTCCCTCATCCGTAAAATGAAGAGTTGTTCTCAACACCCACAGAGGTCTCTTCCAGCTACAGAGATGTCTGATTCTGACATGTAGGATCCTGGATTAGTCAGGTTGGAAAACGTGATCTTTTTTCACCTTCTTGGTTTTTAATTTTTGGCCAACCTTAATCTAGGGACAGTCAGCGCAGGGATAAGGGGAGTCTGTGAAGTGGGCCCCTAGGGCCGGTTCCAGGCCTGCTGGAAAACAGCTCAAAGCCAGCGCTGGACTTGCCTAGTCCCAGAGCACTAGACGAGCGCTTCCACCCGGAATGCATTTCCCCGGATGCGGCAGAGTCGGGGCTAACCGCCCCCCCCCCCGCCCCCGATTATGTGAGCGGGGCTAAGAAGTCTGCTTTTCCCTGGATCAGAAGATTCTCAACTGGTTTTCATCCATTTCTTCTAGCTCTTTCCTTCTTGTGGTAGAAGAAGCAGTGGCATTAGAATCACCAGAAGGCTCAACTTGACAATTGAGAAATGATAGAGGGAGACAGGTAAACAGGGCTGTTGTGAGGTGTCCACTCTCCCAGTGTGGCCGTGGCTGCCCCAGAAGCTAGGTGACCCGGCACTGTTGATTTCCAAGCCACAGGTGGCATCTCTTGCTGTGAGAGACCCCCCACCCGCCCACCCCCCCCACAGAGAAGGCCATACAAACAAAAAGTAGGGGAAGAGGGAGCAAAAATGCACCCGGGGCAGCCACAGATGGAACTGAAGCAGGAGAAAAAGGCAGGAAAGTTCCCCAGGTGTTTTACTGGGGCCGCCTCAAGAGGCCCTACTCGAGTGGCCAAGGGCCCGTGGCTTCTGAATTCCCCTTCGGTGGCTGTGGTTTCTGTCAACCGCCACAGCCTCACTCGGGCGAGCTCCAATCACAGACACGCTTCACGGCAAGGACAAGTCTCTGACCCTTTTCTGAGTTAGGTTTAGAGAGTAAGTTGGTCTTTCTGTTTATCGCGATGTCAGTCTAGATGTTAAGTCCATGGTTATGAGGCGCCATGTTGTCCCCGGTCTCTTCATCCATGTAGCAAACGTTACAGTCAGAGGAGCCTGGACTGGCTTGGGTGCTCGGGGTACCTGATGAACAACAGTCATCACACCTGTTTGTCTTTTGGGTGGTGCTGGGGACTCAGATTAACTTTGGCAAAGGCCACTCGTTCTCGGAGGAACAGCCACCACGGCCCTGCTCTGAGTCAGCTGCTCAGACAGCAGCTGAACACGCCAGGCTCCGACGTGGGCCAGTTGTTCCAGAAAAGGGGCTGTCACAGAAGGCTCGAGCAGCATCCCTCCTGGGCTTTGGAGCCAGCGCCCTGAGTAGCAGCTGTTCTGTGTAGCAGCCGTCTGGTTCTCCGCCTGGCAGCCCGGGGGTTAGAAAATCTAAAGTATTCGAAATATTTTAAGACGCCAACACCATTCCTTTTGAAGGCACTGGAAGTGGTGTGGAGGAGGCCTGGGGGTCAACAGGAGCTTCTCAAGGACCCTGGCACGTATATCAAGGGGGGTGCCCTTCCTGGACACACACTTAGCCAGGACCCCTGCGGCCCAGAGCTCTGGCCAGGTGGAGTGTGTCCTTTGAGCGGAGAGCAAAGTGTGCACTGCAGGGAACACCCACAGTGACCGGAGACGTGCAAATCTCTTCTGCATGCTTAGCCCCTCCTCACGGCCTGGGCCTGGGGGAAAGCAATACATTATTTTTCTCCTTTCTTCTTTAAATTGCTTTCATTCTGGGGCGCCTGGGTGGCTCAGGTGCTTGAGCCTCCGACTTCAGCTCAAGTCGTGATCTTGCAGTTCTTGGGTTCAAGCCCCGCATCGGGCTCTGTGCTGACAGCTCAGAGCCTGGAACCTGCTTTGGATTCTGTGTCTCCCTCTCTCTCTGCCCTTTCCCCTCCCAGTCTCTCTCTCCCTCTCTCAAAAATAAACATTAAAAAGATTTTTAAATTGCTTTCCTTCTTAAAAAAGTTTTTGCTCTGCATTTACCTAGTGCTTCTTTTCCTCTGTTTTTTAATTGACTTTTTTTTTTTAAATCGCAGTTGTAATATGTGCCGCATATAACACACAGATCCATTTCCTCATCATGTATATACCGAGTACCAACCCATGCAAGTCACAGTCCCAGGTGCTGCGGACACAGTAGTGAATGAAATAAAGGTCCCTGCTGGACGCCTTCTTTCACTTTCCCCTTAACCGATGCCACTTCCGAAGGGGAACCACTGTTGCTGTGCATTCTTTCAGTGTAGGAGCTTGCACACACAAGTACACACGGATCATTTGAGTTTGGGGTTGGTTTTTGTTTAAATGGTTCTTTTTCCTCCTCTGCCTCCAAGAACTACTTCATCTTTTTTTCACGAATGCCAAATACGCCAAAACTTGTGTAACCCATCTCCCCATCAGCAAACATTATAGGCGTCCATGATACTTAGCCAAAACAAAAAATGCTATAATGGCCATGGCCTCCTCACCCAGATACAGCTTTGCCTTCTTGTATATTTCTGTAGCAGTTCTGGGAGTCCAGTTTCTTGGTTGAGAGGCACATAGGTGTTAAATCTGTTGAGTGATTTCTTGCCCTTGAACCCATCCCTGGGAGTCCTGGCGCACAAAAAGACTGCCGTGAAAGTCCACAGTACTTTCGTGGACAACTCCACGCGGCATTTGATTTCCTGCAGAGTGTGGCTGTCTTGGAGAGCACAGGAATCACCGGCGTGTCAGGAAGATTAGTGATAACTGATGTGGGGGCCAAATACAAGGTGACCCGATCAGGCCTAGTCCAGGTCCCCACTTGGCACACTGGATCTCCTGAAGGACACCAAGAACTCAAGGGAGAGGGAAGCCCCTGGGTCTGTGTGCCCTGTGACCCACCTGTTTCATTTGGAAGCATGCTTACCTGTTTCGGAAGGCTTAGGGTCTTTTCACAGACGATTCTGGCTCTGGAAGGCAGGTCAGGGAATTCGTAGACTTGGGCAGTGGTGGGCAGGGGTCCCTCCACCCAGCTCTTCATGTGCTCGTATACGGGGCCTGGAGCCTGGGGCATGAGCAGGGTGGGCACCTGGTAGGTTTCCTCGGAGGTGGTGAGAGCTTCCTCCAGACCTTTCAGGAAGAGGGCGCAGGGTCTGTCTGCGGGGGCCTCCGGGAGCAGTTGGAGGCGGTTGGCAGGGGCCAGACCTTGTCGCCCATGGAGCAAACACTTCCACCAGCCCTCGCTTTCTGGCACATTTTGTTCTAGAATGGTCAAGATGTCTCCTCTGCAGAAAGCCAGCTCGTAGGAACAGTCTGGGTGGTTGTCATAAAGTGCTCTGGCCAGGAGGGCCTGGGGGCGCGAGGAGAAAGAGTTCATCGTTATTACCATTGCCAAAAACCTTTCCACCAACACCGCTGGCTTAGAAGCACCAGAGCACAGGCATGGGTTTCCACCACCCCACTCTTCGCCTGATTTATTCCTACCCATCCTTCGGGGCTCTGGTGAAAGGTCATATCCTCAGAGAAGTCTAATTTGTCAAGTCTCCCGAACGTACTCCTGCGGCACTGTTTTAATTTGTGATGACCACGGCCTGCATGTGAGTGCAGCATAGCATATAGTTGAGTTCCTAGCTGTGTGCCTTTGAGCAAATTAGCTACTCTCTCCGGGCCTCAGTTTCCTTGTCTGTAAAATGGGACTAATGGTAATATCTCCCTAAGGGGGTGAGAATTTAGTGGGTTATGGGGCGCCTGGGTGGCTCAGTCTGTTGAACATCTGACTTTGGCTCAGGTCATGATCTTGCGATTTGTGAGTTTGAGACCGCGTTGGGCTCTTTGCTGACAGCTCCGAGCCTGGAGCTGCTTCAGATTCTGTGTCTCCCTCGCTCTCTGCCCCTCCCCTGCTCATACTCTTTCTCTCTCTCAAAAATCAACGTTTAAAAAATTTTAAAAAGAATTCAATGGGTTGTTATGTACACAAAGCTCACTGAACAGGGTCTGGCATTTAGTAGGTACTCAGTAAAGGTTGGCTGTTACTGTCCCATCGATAATAGTGCTCTTTGTCTGGTCCTTGTTACCTTTCTCCTGGGTTGGATGGGAAGTTTCATGACCACCGGGACCACAGCTCACCTATTTGTTGCTCTGTCCCCAGCATCGAGGACAGACTCAGGTGTGTACAAGATGCTCAGTAAATGTCCACTAGCTGGTGAGCAATGAGGCAGAGACGTGGTGGTTAGTGACTAGTCTATCTATGGTCACAAGCCAGACACAGCCCAGACCAAACCCAGTCAGTCTCCCTAATTCTCAGAACTCACGCCCGTTCTGTAACCACCTGATCCTCAAAGGAAAATCACCTTGCAGCAATGGGTAAGTAAATAAGCCTCCTTCTTACTTGAACTTTTTGCTGAAATACATGAAGGCAGTTTGTTTCTGTGGGGTTTAATGTAATCACCTGTTACTATATCAGTGCACACTTAGCACAGAAAAATTGGGAAATGCAGGGAAGAAAAAAGAAGTCAGTGAAAATTACCCATAATCCTGCCACTCAGAGGTAACTTTTCATACCATCTTAGTATTTAGCCTTCGAGGTGCTTTTTTCTTTCTTCAATTAAATTTAGTTAATTATACTTTTGATGCTTATTAGCTCCCAGTACATACAGTTTATAAATAAAACAGAGGAAAGATAACCAACCATCCATCATGTTTATGAAGAAGTGTGGCCTTTTTTTTTTTTTTTTGCATAAAGTTTTTCTGTGACAAAAATGGAACTGGATGTCCAGCTGCTAAAAATATCACCTTAAACACATGGGGGTTAGTGTGGATTTAGAGAAACACTGTGATGTGTGTATCTGAGAAGCATTAAGTAGAATGCAGACAAACGGGCACTGAGAAGTTCCACATAAAATCTCCTGCAGTTGAGATCCTAGGGGATTGTCAACAATTTTTGTACATGGAACTTTCTTCTTACTGCAAAAGTAACAAAAAGTCATTACAGAGGGAGTATAAATAGTGATAAGCAAATAGAAGGAAACAGAAATGCCTGCCACAGGTAATCACTGTCACTCCTTTGGTTCACGACCTCTCAGATCTTGTGCACATTGGTTCACAGGTATACACCTAGGTCAGTTGTATTTCCTTTATCTCTCTATCTGTCTGTCTAGAGAGCACACAGGGAGGGGCAGAGAGAGGAGAGAGAGAATCTCAGGCTCCACACCCACCCTGGAGCCCAATGTGGGGCTTGATCCCACAACCGTGAGTCATAACCTGAGCCAAAATCAAGAGTTGGATGCTTAATTGACTGAGCCATCCAGGTGTCCTGAGTCAGTTGAATTAAAACATTTTTTAAAATGTTTATTTATTTTTGAGAGACAGAACATGAGCAGGGGAGGAGTAGAGAGAGGGAGACACAGAATCCAAAGCAGGCTTCAGGCTCTCAGCTGTCAGCACAGAGCCCAATGCGGGGCTCGAACCCACAAACTGCAAGATCATGACCTGAGCCAAAGTTGGACGATTAACTGACTGAGCCCCCCAGGCGCCCCCAAGTCAGTTGTGTTTTAAAACTTAATGGGATCATATGCTACAGTTTTACAATCTTTTTTTTTTCACTTAATAATAGATTATGAACACCTTTCTGTGGCAATAAACTGCTTTCTTCAGTATCTTTTTATTTAATTTTATTTTTTAATGTTTATTTATTTGAGAGAGAGAGAGAGAGGGAGAAACAGATTTCAAAGCAGGCTCCAGGCTCCGAGCTGTCAGCACAGAGCCCGACGCGGGGCACAAACCCATGAACCGTGAGCTCATGACCTGAGCCAAAGGTGGACGCTTAACCCACTGAATCCCCCAGGTGCCCCCCCCAACTCATTTTTAAAAGAAGGAACATGGTCTTGAAGCATTAGGGGCATGTGTGCTGTGAAGGGCATCCCTGCCTGGGGGCGTCTTCTCTCCCATCCCTGATGAACCAGAAACCCTCACCTGACAGGGGTGGTGCAGGTCTCACTGGCTGGACAAGGAGAGTTTACAGAGTGACAATGAAAAGCAGAGAGCCCAGATGGGGCTAATAAACATCGCTTACCTTCTGGAGGTGGGGCTCATGCAGTGTCCCCTTAGTCGGCCATTTTTTCCTTCACAAGTGCAGCCAACCTTGGCTGAATGTTCACGGGGAACAGCACCGTTCCCCGCACTTGAGTTCGGGGATACCAGCTTTGATCATGGGATGGTCCACTTTGTGAGCCTTCTGTGGCTTCCCTGTAGCCCAAACTCTGCCCAAGCCCTCAGGCCCCTTTGCGATTCCACTCTCGCCTATGTTCCCCAGGCTCAGGGTATCAGTTCCTCATCACCCTGCACGGGCACCACCCTTACTGGGGCCTGAGTCCTTCACACAGGCTACACCCTCCACCCAAGACAGCAGCTCTGCGCCTAGTCAGACCCACGCATCTTTCTAGACTCATCTTAGAGGTCCCTTCCTTGCAAAAGGATTAAAAAAATTTTTTAATGTTTATTTATTTTAGAGGAGAGAGAGACAGAGCATGAGCAGGGGAGGGGCAGAGAGAGAAAGAGAGGGAGACACAGAATCCGAAGCAGGCTCCAGGCTCTGGGCTGTCAGCAGAGAGCCCGATGTGGGGCTCTAACCCTTGAACTGTGAGATCATGACCTGAGCAGAAGTTGGTCGCTTAACTGACTGAGCCACCCAGGCGTCCCACAAAAGGATTTCTTAACACTCACACTCCCCCAGACCAAGCTAGTTCTCTCCATTGTTTTGCTCGGTGCTTTTCCATGTTGGCACTGACAACATTCACATGGAATTCATGAAGTAGGTGATCATCTATTTGGCGTCTGCCTGGGCATAGGCTGTGTAATGCGCTTGTGTTCAAGTTTGCGAGTTAGAGACCCAGCACCAAGATGAGAGTCCCTGGTTCTGTCTAGAGCAGAGTAAAAAGGAGGCTCTCTGTGACTCTCTGCCCCTCCCCTTAGGTGGCTGTCAGTGAAAATGACCACTGAGATGTCCAGAAAATGGGCTGCAGGGCCTAGCTAATCGGCACACTCAATTACTGTCCCTCGAATATGTTGTAAGTGCTTTTCCAGCGAATGCACTGGGTGCTCAGCTCAGAGAATCTGGCAGAGATGAAGGATTGAGAGGGAACACAGTTGTAGAGCCTTATAATGAGTATGGATTAAAGACCAGGACTTAGTGAAGTTCCCACGCTACTCTGCAGATTTTTTTCTTGTTAAAGAGGCGAATAATCTCTGTAAGGTAAGAAAAGAGCTTGAAAGTTTGTGGTGTGTTATTTTGTCAGACTTTCACCAGATTTCTAACTAGCCCTGCAATCCTTTCTTAGTAATCCTTTATTTCTTTAACGTTTATTTTTTTAAAGAGAGAGGGCATTCGGGGGATGGGGAAAGAGATATGGGGACAGAGGACCCGAAGCAGGCTGTGCGCTGACAACAGAGAGCCCAATGCGGGGCTTGAGCTCACAAACGGGGAGATCACAACCTGAGCCAAAACTGGACACTCAATCAGCCGAGCCACCCAGGCACCCCTTAATTTTCCTTTATTAAATGGCCTACAAATACCTTGATTCTCAAATGCTCTTTGACCTAGTTTTCACATTCCAGTGGTTCTCTCACTCATTAATCTGTTTACTGAAATCTTTGACCTGACTTCATTTTATGTTTTCATGAGACTCATGATTTTACCTCTCTGAAAATTATACTTCAACTGCCCACACTGGCAAGAAAACAAAAACACAGTCTCCAACCCATCCTCACAATTCCATGAAATCCACTTAACACATCCGGAAAAGAGAAAGCTGGCCTCTGAGATGTGCTTGCATCTATCTGTCTAGAAATAAGATAGTGTGCACGTCCAGGCGGGGCAGCTGTTGCAATATGGCAGCTGCTTGGGCGCGTCCAGATTGGCAGCAGCTTAGTTGATGGATGTGAGATTGTGAAAGGCAGTGGGTTATCCTTCAGAGCACAGCGGGCTTATACGATCAACCACCCCACGGGGCAAGATGAACGGCCCGGTCTAATTCTGGAGACAAGGCTTACTCCGTGCTTCCAGCCTGCCGTCTGCAACTGCGCATGCCTTACAGGACGTGACCTCCCGGCAAAATAAAGTCCTGCGTGTGTTGCTGTTGCATGATTCCCTTTCACATGGGATTTTGTTATGATTGGCGTTGTAACGGACACCTCGTGCAATCCATTGATGTCTCAGGGTTTTAATAACGAAGCTCGTCAAAGTTTCTGTTCCAAAAGAAGAATTAAACACCAGAGAGGAATCTTGGGGGGTCTTCCCCTAGAAAACAGTAGACTATATTGGGGCACCTGGATGGGTCAGTCGGTGAAGCATCC